CCTTACAGAAAACCGGCGTGAAATAACCACAGCGTTGTGTTTCGCCGTGTGAGTGAGGTTACCGGAGGCCCGGTCCTACCCCTCCCCCGATCCCTCCCCAATCCCTAAATCTCCAAAACCCTAATTCCTAAAAGTTCGGCAACGCACTCGTAACTCCTCCGTTGCAGGTGTTCATGGGCGGCGCTGAATGCTTACCATCAGGTCATCCGTGTGCGCGTTTGCCGAACTATACAAATAAAAAAAATGGGACAACGGGGCACACTGGCTGCATCGTTTTCTTGCCGCATCATCGCTTACTACCAGACGCGATAGAACAAAATACATTAAGAAATAAAATACATATTTATTTCCAATATCTGTCAAATATATAATCCCATAATCAGCCCTTAGAGCACCTGAGAATGTATATGTACTATATTACCCTGCCATCATGCCATCAACACAGCAAACGGCCAAGTCAATCATTTTTGATATGCCCATACCTAAATGAAAAAAAAATCTAAACTATTTTTACAATATACATTTGAATATTCATAACAATTTACTTAAATATAGTATTCGTGCTAGGAAACATTTTTTAGGTATTGAAATAGTAATTAAGGAAAAAAAACGTTAACGATTTACTATAAAAAAAGTTTGTAGGCCGATCAAGCTAAATGAGCGACAAGTTTTTGGATGTTCAGAAAAAAATATTGATTATAGTCTTTTAATTTGAAAACTGGATCCAAATAGTATATATAATATAATAATTTGACTATTAGTTATTGTTTTTGTATTCCTATACTTAATTATATTTTCCCCCAAAAAATACCAATCTGCTAGCAACAAGAAGAACAAGAAAAGAAGACCAGACTACAACGCACTCACCTCAAAACGCATATTCAAAATCCCAATACCACGCACAACCTCCCTCTTAACCAGACGATCCCCTACCTACCTCCACACAACTGTCTTTAACAACGTTCATCGCAGGTTACCTCTTGACACAAATGAGCTGCCACTTTCCTCATGTAAGAAGATATTAAAGAAATGGTTAAAAGAACTTTCATACGAAGAGACAGAAAATATTCTTACAACACAATCTACAATCGAAAGGTCGCACTAACACGCACAAAACACACACACACACACACACACACACACACACACACACACACACACACACACACACACACACACACACACACACACACACACCATTCATCATCATCAGCATCAACTTGAGACTGATAAGCTAAGTTCAAGTAAACTTTAAACTAAGCATATTATTATTTAACTTTAACTACTTTTTGTACCTTTATAATTTCCTTTCACTGTATACAACGAGACGAATTTAATTTTAAGAAGATGCTTTAAATTATTTCATATTAAGTTGTTCCTTTTAAATTTTTTGTTTAAGTTTGATTATTGATTTTATTGATTATTTTTAATATTTTTTTAAGTTTCTACTTCTGTCCACAACCTGACCGACTTTTAACTAAAGTTTTTAGATAACCGCAACTCGGGACCTCAAGATACAGGCCTCGCCTAGTTTGGGGACCGCCGCTCTTAAAAGCAATGTCCGCTAACAACACTAAGTTACAACAAACAATTGTACCTAATTATAACTAAACTTTAAGGCAAACTTATGTAACTGTGGATAAATAAAATTTTATTATTTATTATTATTATTATAACAAGAAAATTTTCCACAAATTAAGGTACACAAAGGCCTTGTCAGTTTAGATTTATTTTCATAAATACTTCGTTTATTGTCCGTTATTATATTTCTGGATATCTTGAAACAAAATCTCTATAATTTGGACCAGTAATACGAAGCAAAATTAAACGAAATTATAATCGGATAATTCTGGAATGATTTTATGATCCCGTAGAATTTAATAACTCCAACATTTTTGTCACAAGCACTAACATTAAAATGTTTTAAAATATCACACATCTTGCCCTCATTCCGTGAATCATTTTTCTCTTTTCTTTCTTCTTTCTTTCAAATATAAATGTGACTGATGATTCAAAGAACTTGCTTTTGCCTTTTTTAGAAGTCTTGTTTGGGTAATTATATCAAAGAACAAATAATTTAAAAAAGGTAAAAAACCAGACTGATCCTAATCATTAGCCTATATGTGCCTACTGCTGAGCAAAGGCCTCTCCTCACACGGAGCAGGCTTAAGCATCAATTACTCAAGGCGGATTGGCGATTTCAAACGTATAACCAGAAATTATAACACCAGGTTTCCTCACGATGTTTTCCTTTACCGTTTGTCAGTAGTGTCTAAATAATTAAAGAAAGTAAATATAATTCGGACAAAGTCACATTGGTACTTGACACGTTTTGAATTCGCACTTTCATGCATGAGAATTGAGCGCCTTAACTTCCAGGTCGCTACGAAATGGATTAGTCCAAATACAAAACAAAAATAATGATGGCATAATATGTAAATTATAAATCTACTAGCGTCTCGCACTGGCGTCGCATGGGTGCAATACTGATACTAAATTTCTACACTATATTATTTATGATATTATACATATAAACCTTCCTCTTCGATTCAATCATGGTAGGTATTAAGAGACCCCATCAAAATTCATAGCGTAGTCTAGATCAAGATTTAAGCATAGGCATATGTTATGTAATGATGAAGTTCGACAGTTGATAAAAAATATTAGATACGTATTCTTTTATTTTGAAAACTGTTCACATATAACAGATTCCGCGACCTCGGCACAGAGCAGGAGAAGGAACAGGGGGGTTTTTAGTCAGTAAGAGTCTGACACTCCCTCCTGCCCGGCCCTGGGCGAGAGAAGTCATTTGATGATTTTCCCCTCACAAAAAAAACATATAACAGATTAAAGTAAGGATTAAATCAAAATCGTGGCGTCAATCGATATAACCAATCAATATAATGTCAAAACTTTTCTGCGAGAAAAAAAAAAACATTAAAAATCATCAATCATTTATCCCTATTGAAATATTATAATAAAAACATGACTTTGTTCGTGCCTAAACTTACTGTAACCACCACAGAAATTAATTACACCGTTAATTTATTCAAACCAAAATCCACACCGAAAACAAATGAAATTTATATTCAATCTAAATTCATGTTCTTGCGCATACCAGAAATTGGAATTAATTGAGACACACTTAGTTATACATTCAGGACCTGTACCACAAAATCAGTGTTGGAACTAAATGCGAAGCGTTTTGGGAACTGTACGGGATACTAACACATACATACATATGTTCTGTTTTCAAAATTATTCGTAACTGAATACAAACTTTGTAACAAGAAGATAAGGTTGTAATTTTGTGAGTGTTGGTAATTTTGTTTGTTAGGGTACAATTTAGTTTAAAAAAAACTATTGGGAATAATGTCGGATTGTTGTTGTTTTTATAATTTGTTTAAGTATTAGAGATGTGAAATTATTATTATATTACTATCGAAGATACAAGTTGTTGACTTAACGATTATTAACAGAGTTTAATACTTTGTTCTCAAAAAAAAAACAATTCAATTATCAAACTCAAAAGTTTTTTACGATTTTGTAACAGAATGTGTGTTGTGATGACGTTTTCTGAACCAAAATGGATACCTATTCCTACATTTTAAGTATCTATCGTAATATATTTATTTATTTACTATTTTTATTTAGCCTAAGGTATATTAGTATCGGTCTAACAGCCGACTTTTGGAGAGTTAAGAGTGGCCGGTGACCAAAACGATTGTTTGTTTTAGAAATTCGAAATAATTTAATTTCAACTAATTCAAATGAATATTAACTGATCTGATGATCACTTTCAGTGTTTTATTACTAAAAATTTTAAGTAGATAATTATATTATTATATCCATCTGTGAACGCCTGAAATGTAACAACTAGCAATAAGCACACCAGCACATAAAATAGTTAATCGACTATATTGAATTTAAGAATATCTACAGATATCTACTATTATACAAACTGAAATAAAATAAACAGATTACATGAAAAAACATCATTTTTATTAAAAATACAACTATATAAATTACTAAGTAATTATCAGCCTAAGTTATAATATTGAATCTTGACCAATTCCCTGTCCAACAAATGACATATGGATTCGTAAATAGCTATTGTTTTACAAATGTGTTTACTTTATGGACAGTGAAAGTGTAACCATTATTACATTTCGAATTTTAAAAGACGACCACTTTTATACATACTTAAATTCTACATTTTTTACTGTACTATAGGTAATAATATTGAAACATGGTGGTTATAATAATACTTTAAAATATAACCTACTTGTAATTTTAAAGCTCTTTATTTTATGCCTCATTTTACAGTTTGTTCTTTAAAGTAACCTATTTTCTAGTCTTAAGCAAGAAGATTAAATGAAAAATAAAGATTTATCATGTCACATAATAACAAAGTAGAATACCTAGATTTTCTGTTTCTGTTATAAAATAAAAATGATTCTGATCTAATTTATTTTTTGAAATAAATCTGTACACACCTTACAAAATACTGCATAATGTACAAGAACTATTTACAAAGAACTGGTAATTAATATTTACAAAAAAAAAAGAAACAAGAAAAAATATTGTTATAAAAATATTTAGAAAAACAGTAAAGTCGTAGAGTAAATAAGTTTCGATAAAATAAAGTTTATATTTAAATACAAATAACATTGAATGACCAGCTGTCAATAAAAGGTCACATTTACTTATGCACGTATTTAGAAAATGATCTTTTAGTTGAATAAAAAATGGCTCGTTATTTGAGTACATTGGCCCTATAGAATACGGACACAGAATTTTCTTACAAGATTTATATTTGCTTTTTTGCCTCCAGTCACGATTGATATTTTAACAACAAGCACCTAAGCTACTCAATCTCTTTACTTAAAAGTTGGTTTACGTTTCGCATATTCGAAAGTAATCATTTTACTTTTTCAAATTTTACTAAGTTAGACATACAAGATCTTAAAAGATTTTGTAGAGTAATAAGCCTAATTGCACCTCGATTTAATACTTAGGTATAGGCACATAAAGCAATTCATCATATGGTACAGCGTCAAAGAATTTTTTCGCCGTAGTGACAGTGACATTCAGAGCGTAATCGACGACCGGTTGTCCGAATTCTTCTGTGACTATTCTCCAATTTTCGTTCAGGAACTGTAGTACTGTGTTACCTGAAAAAATAACATACGATTGAGCAAAACTTTTCTATAAATTGATACGATCATCATTGTCTTGTACCTTAGTATTGCTAAACACAAGTTAAGCAAGCCACTGACCAAGTAAACATCAAATTTTTAGTCTACTGACCAACTGTTTCATAGTTATATTTTATAAAACATATAAAATTAGTAATAATAATTGAGTACTTTAAACATAAAATATTAAAAGCAATTGCCAAAATTGCAATAGACAATTTCTAATAATTCTTAAAACACCATTAAGGAATATTGCTCTTCACAAAACATTAGGCAACATGCGTTTTATTATGTTGGTCTAAAAAATAAAATGGAAGTGTACTCCAGTGTAAAATTTGGGACAGTTAAAAATATAGAGCATGAAAAAATTACAATGGCGGGAGTTTTTGGAGTGTGATGACATTTTTATAATTTAAAGTCAACTTCCTTTAACGAATGCTCTTAGAAATTAGTACTGTTGAACTCAAACTCTCATTTGAGTTTTATAAGCTGCGATATGAAAAATAGCTTACGACTTAATTATTACACTTCCTTGGAGCCGGGGACCTTAATTTTATTTTTGAAGAGAGGGATTTTAAATTGACTACAATATTTTCTATTTTTGCTCCCCCACACAAAGTTGAAAAAATATTTAATGTGTATTTACAGTTTTAACAAAATTTTATTTTTAAGCCTGAAAAAATATCTTAATTGTTGGGATAAGGGGTAAACAAGTACTTACTTAATTCAGGGTTGCCTTTAAAGAGGTTGTTGATCGTATAAATGATTCTCTCGCCGTAATCGAACGTGTACTTGTAGTTCTTGATCCCGAAGTGATCACGACCGTCAGCGTCCTTGAAGTACTTCGTGTTGATGTGCAGTTTAATGATTGAGTTCACTGAAAAAGTGTAAGGCAAATCTCAAAAAAGTACAGGACATGTCGATTGTTGATTACGGGATATAGAAAAAATGCTCAAAAAATTAGAAGTCATCATATTTGTGTCCAAATTCGGTCCTCAAAACAACTCATTGTGTGATTTGCAAATTGTTGTTCCGTGTTTGATATTTATTACATGAAATTGATTGTTTTTAAACGCATTCAGGATACAGGAGAAGCTTGTAGTATAGGGCAAGGTTTAAAAAAAGACAATATGGACGAGTTCTCTTTAAAGGCCTCTCCTCATGAAGAAGACGTATACGAATAACGTTGATCACCAGGATCCATTATAGCGGTGATTTGTGTTATGGCTTTAAATTTTACATAACAATCATAATAATTATGCGGACGAATAAGTAGCTTCACATTTTAATTCCCATTTTTTTAGTTCTACTACCTACTAAAATAATGATGATGAAGATTAAAGTAAACCAACAGGTAACCTTAACCGATGTATCCAAAAGCATGAAATTTTGCACAAGAGTTCCTTGGGCAGCGTGAGTGAGCATCAAGAAAGGGATTTCTCAATTTCCCGTGAGAACGAGACTTAAGGGCAACACTGTTGCTACATATCCTTGAACGATGTTGGGTCTTATGTACTTGATACGATAATATATTCGTATCAAGTACATGTGCTCTTAGTAATACATATATGCTCTTTATGATGATAAATTATTATACAAACGATAGTACATTTTTGTCTGAAGGACAATTATGAGATTTAAAATCCTTTATTAAATTCTAAACCCTACAAGGGGCTACGAAACGACTAAAATTCAAATATCAGAAAAAAGTCGATTTTTAAAGTGGTTAATCTTCTTTAACAAAAGTATAAATAACCCTATTTTCTTTTCTAGAAATAACCAAGTGTTCTTTTATTGAAACATATTCACAGGACAGAAAGAAATCTAGATTTGTACCTAAATTAATTATAATTGCTTTTTCTATGAAATTACAAACTAAATGCACTAACGCAACCACTTTCAATATTAAATATTCCGAACACACGATTTCTATTTCAGCGCGAGTTGGCATTGTATCCGTTTATAAAATACATGAAGGCGTTACATTGATATTTGCTATTTATTTCCATGTTGCGTGTGTGGTTCGAATAGTGATTCTAGGAATGCGTTCTTACAAAAAATGTGTTCGTAAATTCGTCCCTTACTCGTGTTGTTGATGAAATATTTGCAGCAGAAATAACTAGTTGAAAACTTCACTTTTAGGAAGATTTACCCATCAAAATCAAAGTCAAAGTCAAAACCATTTATTCCAACTAAACCATAAATAGGTACTTTTGAAACGTCAAAATAGAAAAGTAGTCTGTCAGTCTGTTCGTCAGTGAAGCTAGGTGCTCATTCCAAATTGTAGATTCAAATGGAGAAGAACGAGCAAGAAATTCCATCGTTACTCTTTAAAAAAAAAATGTTTTACAATTTCAGTAGTATAACATTTCGTATACATTATTGTACCCCCATGTGAGAACAATGCAGATACAAGTTGTAAAAAAAAGAACAAATGGTGGGATCTATCATCACATCAGACCATCAGAGAATTCAGCGTCTATTACAAAAAACTGTCCTTGAACTCCTTTGATCCTAGCCTAGTCGTGAATGGGCTTTCTTTATCAAGTAATCCAGTTTTCAAAGGAACTACCGAATTCAAAGATTTAAAAAGAATACTCACCTATTTTGATTTTAGAGTCGCCTTCACCGTTGATCGGGAACAGCAGTAACCTTCCAACTGCCGTGTATTTGCCCTTGATTGTTATGTTGCATCGGACATCCAAATTGAATATATTCTTCTCTAGGTAGGCTCTGAAAAATACAATATTACAAATTGTAGTTTTTAAAGAATTTTTGGAATAGACACATTATAAATAAGTCGAAATTACAAATATCCCAATATGACATTGGGTTGAAGATGGAAATAGATGGAAAATTTATATTTGGAAACAGGCTGAACGAACGAAGAGTCTTCAATTCTAAATTAATATTACTTAAGTTTTCATTTAGTAATTATATTTAAAAGGTTTATTTGTTTTTCCTAACCTTTGTCGCGTTTTTCTAACATTTTGCTACAAACGTTTTCACAACACGTTAAAATTTGACGAGGCAAAAGTTTAAAACGACTGTATTCATCATTTACAAATACAATGTTTGTGTAAGCCTTTTTATCTCGCATCTCGAAACCCTCAGCCATATAACAATAGGGAAAACAATTTAGATATGTCATACCCTTTTACTCAACGACAACAGCTTCATAGAACGTTCCAGAAAGCTCAGTTGTACCTACTTATAAATTTTCTTTCGCCTATCCTTGAAAAGGTTGGGAAGTTTTAGTATCTTCTAAATCTTATGACGCCAAGCCCTTTCTTAGAAGATTTGAGCTGTATTTGAAGGGTTGATTTACTAAACAGTTCTTTTTTTATGCTTTCTCAAAAATTTCTTTGATTTGTTCAGGTTTTGATTTTTAGTTACTTACGTGGAATAAAAACTTATTAGACTTTTAAGTAAAAAATAATAGTTTAAGTAAGTTTTTTTTCGAAATGGATTCATGTTTTCAACCACCATGTACTAAAAAGCAGTCTTTACTTATACTTCAACCAAACAATTGTCATAAAAAGGTAGTACAAAAGTTTTTGCTTGACATATTAATATAACAATAATAAACTGTCATACATTAAATTGTCATCCTTGAAACCTCTTTTGTCTATTATACGTTTAGAACGGAAAACAAAGGATTTCGACAATACACAGCTGGCGTGAGAATAAAACCGCATTACTGTGGTGTGGCAACGTTTTCACAGTAATCGTTGGGTTAGGTAAGCGCTACTTTTAAGTAGTGTTATGATTGCGACGCGCGATAAAACTAAATTAGTTTAAATTGACACTAGTTTGTAAAATGACTGACTTGTCATCACGCTCGTTCCATACTAATATTTGACGTTGAGAAAGGTTTTTATTTTAAAGCTGTAAGGTCAATTTTAATGGAATGATATTTTGTTTGGTTAATGTACGAGTAAGTACACAAAAAACATAGTTCGTTGTTGTAAAAAATGGGGTTATTGATTGGAACCATAAAAAACGCTGTAGGGTATTAACAGACCTTATTTTTTTCTAAGTAAATGCATGTATGTTTATTTTATGTATGCAGAGTCTGCTTAAAGTTTGTCTTAGTGTAAAAAAGGACACTGTTGGCTTACAAGCAATATACTAGTATATAAATAATAGACAAATACATAATGTTCTTTTTCCCTACAATAGTATACTAACATACTATTTCTGTAACAGTTATCTACATCGCTATATTGCTGCACTGAACTTTACTTCCCAAGTCCAGTTTAGTACCAACTTCGAACTCTAGTAAGACTTAAAGACTCTTACTGTTTGCTGTTTGGAGCGACACGATTAAAACCTAAGAGTAACTATAGCTTTCATAGCTTACTGTTAAAACTTCTATGTGCCACAGAACTATTTACTGATGTGCTTCAATTTCCCAATTCATAATTGGAAACATCTTACACTAATGTTGTAAATTTTTCGAAGGTTTGAATTTGGAAGTATAAAAAAAACATTTTGTAATGGCGCGGCTTTAAAAATAAAACATGAGATATTTCGAACTGTAACACAAACAAATCATGGGCTATGTTATTGTTAGGGATAAACGATTGTATTTTACTCAGATTGATGATACTTGGATATATTTTCATATAAAAGCACGCAAGTTAATGGCCGTGGCATACCATGGCCTTCGAATGTCTTTACTTAGACAAAAGCATCCTCTTTGCAAGAATTTCAAAGATAATCTCCGAAGCTTTGCAGCCATTTGAAGCGGATATAATCGTTTCTTTGTTGAAATGTGATTCAGGGCACAGGCCAAGAGTTTTGAACAATTTTCTCTGAATCCTTTCGTAGAAAAGGTTTTGTGTACTTCCATTGTATTTTGTTATTTTGTATACCTGGCCATTATGCTATTTAAATTTTAAAATGCAAATTAGCGAGGTTGATGACTTAAATTTTTATTTTATATTTTTTTATATTCAATGTTAATAAATCCCAGATTAAAAATTTTGAAATGAGAAAAATTATCATTTTTTAATGCAATCTTTTGTTTGACGAAGTTATTTGTTTCATTCTGATTTCATTTTAGAAGTTATATTTATAGACTACTGCCTAGACAAATAGTCCGAACAATAGACATCGGATGTTATACGTTAAGCAATTAAGAAATGAGTTATCCACTTTTTTGCATAAAATTCTCATTGTACAATTTTTCTTCAAAATTCACCATTACGATACTAATTTTGAACACCTCCACATTTTTGAATCGCTAAATTCCCTGTTTTTGGCCTCTGCTTTTGATCAACTTATTTCTTCGGGCCAGGTCGATAAGGATATTTTTAGATATAATTTATTATTTATGAAACTAAAAGGTTCGAAACAGTCTACCAATATTCAATATGTTGTGTAATATTCTAACCTGACTAGAACTGACTATTTTTTGGTCTAATTAGATCGGAGTAAAGCTAGTGATAAACCAAATAAAATAAAATTAACTTACTCGACATTCAAAACTTGACATTTTCTTAGTCCAGTAGCTTTCCCATTGTAAAACGTGACTTTGATACCAGGCAGCTGTATGGGCAGCTCATCGATGACGAAGGGATCCAATGGTGGCACTCCTAAGTCCGGTAGACCTTTGGTGAACTGCGGTATTGCATCCTGAGTCGCTTTTATTAGACATGCTGGCTCTGTGTTATTGCAGGGTCTGATGAAGTCAGCTGTGAATGAAGAGAAAAGGGAACGTTTAACAAAATGCATTCTTTTCTGAAATTTAAACATGTCTGGTAAAAATATAGCAAACAAAAAAATCGTATCTACATCTAATTTGATCAGTATTACTTATTTTTTTATTTTATATTCCTTTTATAATAGAACACATAATTGTTTTTTTTTTTTGTTTTGGGTAGTTTGTCGCTAGCCGATGGATCACCTGATGGCATAATAAGCAATCGGATGTAATGGCAAATGATGCCACATATTATGTAAATCTATAATGGAAACCCACTATTCACAGTAAGAAGTCATCCTATTGCCATGCAACTTCGAGAAATATCATGATTAACGTTAATATTCTTTTCGTTAACTGTTACTTACAAGGATATAGTTAGAAAAGACTTAGACTCTACACTGCAAATTTTCTGTACAAATTTAGATATAAATAACGAATGACCTATTATTGCAAATGATATTGAGGAGTTTGGACCATAAAATATTACGATGTTTAGTAACAGTGCTTGCATTAATGAGTGAAGGTACTGATTCAGAATAGTTAGGCAACGCCACTATGCAGTCGTTTCGTGATAGCCACACGCGATTCGTTAAGGGGATGGTACATGCTTTATGATTTATTTATTTAGTTGACGCGGCGTCTGCGCAATTGGAACAACAGTATGATCCACAAATTGCCGTTCCGAGGTTAAAGTGTAATGTGTGAGTAAAATCGTAAGTTTGTAATCGGGTCTACAATGCAAGAGAAAATTCTTTTTTTTTTGTGATAGATAATCCATCCGCTGGCTGACTGTGATAGATAATATCCGTGGTGGCCCGGAGGTTAAGGCGCCCGCTTCTCATGCATGAGGGTGCGGGTTCGAAACCTGGCAAGTACCAATGTGACTTTTTCCGAGTTATATGTACTTTCTATGATTATTTAGACACCACTGACATACGGTGAAGGTAAACATCGTGAGGAAACCTGGACTTATAATTTCTAATTATAAGTTTGAAATCACCAACCCGCATTGAGCAAGCGTGGTGATTAATGCTCTAACCTTCTCCGTGTAAGAAGAGGCCTTTGCTCAGCAGTGGGCACTTATAGGCTGATGATGATGATGATGATGATGAATCCATCCGCTCTGATTACATGATGTAAAGAATCATCGCCGCCCATGGACACTCCGTAATTCCCAAGGAGTTTACTACAAGTTCGTTGCTGGCACTCTTTTGTGTGTTATTAAAGATTTAAGAATTGTGGATTTGAGGTTTGAGGATGGAAAAGATGGGTTATCCGGGAACCACGCTCAGACGGCGAAACACAATGTAAGTTTTCTTTTTTAGTTTGAATCCTAGGTATCACTTGAGTACACTTCTCTCTCCTAACCCTGGGCTGGAGAAGTCATTGATGATTTTTCCCTGACAAAAAAAGGTATCACTCCGCTTGAGCGGGCAGCATTTGCGCCGAAACATGACTGCTTGTTAAACTTAACTCCTTACGGCGCTAAGCGAGAGGTGTATTGAAAATTACCTGATTATTGAAAATTAAATATTACCTGGTATAATATCGTAAAGTAACGTATTATACTGTCCAGAGATTGTTAAACGTACCATAAATATTTTATCAAAGCGGTAACTCAAACGCTGCATCGATTCTATCTTGTTAAGAAAACTCTTTAATTAAAATACAACTGCTAAAATAATATTTTTATATAGGTAAGTAACATTTCCACGAAATTTACCTTTTATAAAATTGTATTTACTTTTTTTCAATAAAATAAACCCTCACAGTTAAATCGTGTTTAAATGTTTAACGGTATTTCGCAGTAAAACCTTGGAGACGTGTACTCTGATCATATACGCAATATGGAATATGGCACATGCGGACTTTTTAAATTAAGTGCCTGGAACAATCATAAAATTGGATTGTATTTTTTTTTGTAGAGTAAATTAAAAACTTATTAATTATGAGCAAGTATATGTAATTCTTATTATAAAGAGCAAAGATTTGATTGTTTGGCTCTGAAACTTCTTGATTAATTCGAAGAAATATTTCTCAGTATGTTGTTAAACTACACTTTTTGCGGTAATGTAAATTAGGATAGCGAAATATCGCGGCACTGCTATATAAAATAAATCTGTATAAAATCCGGATAATTTCTGATCAACGTTTTATCAAAATTATTTTATTTCAACGTATTTTCGCTGTATTTTTCATTAATAGGATTATTTTATATTAATAGGAAATGATATTAGGTAATTAATTCGAAACTCAATGTTGAAGTTACAGTCAAAATCTTAATTTTTATTATATCAATATGTCTTTTACCAAGTGGGCAACTAGGTCCATTCGACATATAAACTCATTCAAATATGCGAACAGTTAAAATTACTTTTGTTTGATATTAATAAAAATGATTAGAATACGAACGAGTTTTATCATGTAAAATTATCTTAACAAAAACAAAAACAGAAAGAGAACATGCCCTTAATATCTAGTCGGCCGTCGATTGCAAACGTGCAATGTACGGAAACACGTACATATGTATGTACATTACTGGTAAATCCTACATATATGTATGTATGTGTGTTTCACCACATGTAGTAAGAACATGTCTTGGTACCGCATCCATTTTAATTCTTGAACTTGACCCCGATTCGTACTAACACTATCTAATTTTGATATTCATGTTTTTTTTTAAATATAAGCCGCTTTATTTGACAGTACTATGAGAAATATGTATTTACGATGCATCTTTATGATTTATATGTATAATACAATGTGTTACAAAATTTTGATGTTGTATCGTATGTTATTAAATACATGGTTAATGGCTTTTAACAGCGATAGAGAGTTATTCATAAAAAAATACTTATATGAAAGTGTGCCAATTATAGTCATTCATTTAAAACGAAACGGATTTATTTTTTTAGTAGGTTTTGCCCGTGGCTCCATTCGCGTGGAATAGTGACTTCATTTTTGGTATAAACACTAAACTAACCTATGTTCTTTCTCGAGTGTCTGTACCAAATTTCATAGAAATCAGTTCAGTAGTTTAGACGTCAAGAAAAGACAGACCGACAGAAAGACAGGCAGAGTTACCTTCGCATTTAATATATTACTTTGGATGTAATAATATTAAATAAATATTTCAAATTGAGTACCACTATCCAAACTAAACCTATTAACTTAATTAACCTACTTCTAACATATATCTAAAAATTGGAAATAATTCCTTTAACAAAATTACAAGGAATATAATTTTATTATCTATTGACTAGTAGGTAGCTTGCCATCCGTCCAAAACCAGACCCGAGTCCAGAATCAAAGACCACATCGGATGTTGCTCGATAAATGATAGCCCCAGCCTAGAGTAGGACAATTAACGCGGTGGTTTGACACTCCATTCACCTTACCAGGGCGAGATAGGTAAGTCATTTCCCCATTAAAGATAGGTACACCAATCTCGTCTTCTACATATGACTATCATAGCGTGCATCAATCCATTTATCTCTCAACCTTAGAAACTATTAAGTACATATCTACTCAACATTGTTGTAAATCTTAAGCATAAACATAAAAATTACATAATGTTAGAATATAAACGTAGTAACAACATAGATAAGAAAATAAATTGCTGTTGTGACCTTGATGCAATGAAAATGCTTTTTAGACATGCAACTGTACATGTATAATATACGTGCTATTTTGACGCCTACTTAATAAAAAATAAAAACTTAATTATTTAAAAAATATTATTCTAATTTCAAATTAACATAAATTAATTTGCATTAATTATAAAATGTATTTTGTTCATTTAGGATATAAAGTATTGTGAATCTTTTCTAGCCCCTTTACTGTCAGATTTTTATCGACTAAAAACCATTTTGTTCCATATCCAGCTCCGAGCTAGGGTCGTGGAACATAATTACACTAGCATGCGTACGTACCTTCTCCTACTAAGTGTTAACATAATTTACGAAAAAAAATATAGGTATGTGACACTAATATAAGAATTATTTATACATATATAGACTATGAAATTATTTTCTATTAAGAAAAAATTAATACCAGAGAATTCCGCTCGAGCTTATCTTTATAAATTACTCACGAATAGTAAATAACACTATTCAACATATATTTTAAAAACATAATTATGTAAAAGATTACACAAGTTTCCAACTGAGGTATTCCTCGTAGCGCTCCCGTTTTGAAACGCTCCCATCTAAGCGCTCCCGTTTTATTCCTCGGAGCGCTCCCAAAAGGAGCGCTTCGAGGAACGATTAAAAATATTAAAATTTACTTCCTCGAAGCGCTCCCACGTTTAAAAATAGGGAAAAGCATGAAGAAAACGTAATAAATTATATCGATAATTTTTAAAAACTCATGTGTGCATCATCGACATCGAAGATGCTTAACCAAATTACGAAATTGAGAGAATAATATCTTTTTGCTTTCGGCACTCTTTTGTGTATACAAGGACCAATATTATTGTGTATTCAAAGAAGATTTTATAAATAAAACGCATAGATAAACTTAATATAAATTATTAACGTATAATAATCACATTGCAGTAGATTTGAAATGCGATGAAAATGTAACACTAATCAATAAACAAATGACGTTGCGTTTTATTTATAACATCTTCTTTGAACACACAATAACATTGGTCCTTGTATACACATAAGAGTGCCGAAAGCAAAAAGATATTATTCTCTCAATTTCGTAATTTGGTTAAGCATCTTCGATGTCGATGATGCACACATGAGTTTTTAAAAATTATCGATATAATTCATTACGTTTTCTTCATGCTTTTCCCTATTTTTAAACGTGGGAGCGCTTCGAGGAAGTAAATTTTAATATTTTTAATCGTTCCTCGAAGCGCTCCTTTAGGGAGCGCTCCGAGGAATAAAACGGGAGCGCTTAGATGGGAGCGTTTCAAAACGGGAGCGCTACGAGGAATACCTCTTCCAATAACCTCCAGTATTTAAGTGTGCACACAAGAAGAAGTAGAACCAACCCGTTAAATACAAATTTGAGATAAACTTAAATTGCTTACTTACAGAATCTCATTCACCTGAAGTTTAAGTAGTATCAAAGGTACTAAGTGCCAACACAAGACTATCCAGTTACTCGGGCAATGAAGCCAATGTTATAGAAACTAGAACTCGCAGAGATCCAGTTCTGTGACACAATCAAACAGGTTATTATGCACCTTTACTTACAAACTGGGGAATGGCACGTGGTGCGGTTTAGCACGCAATGTACTACCATACTTTCAAGTGCGGGAGAGTCATGCTTTGGCACTAATGGAACGGATTGAAAAGAGTTATACCACGGCTTCACAGAAGACGGACGTGAAACAACGCTTGCGTGGTGTCTGCGATGTTATCGGGTGTTCAACCCTTCTTTTCCTCATACACAGTCCCCGACCCTGCAAGATTGTCGACGTATTTACAACTCTTTTGGTGTGTTGGGTGGTCTTAGATGGCGCTGATTGCTTACCATCACGAGAACCGTATATTGACTAACTTACTTCATAAAAAAACGACTTTCTGGACATGGACTTATGGCCATTTTGTTGTTATTGTTTTTCCACACGATTGTATTTTTATTTTTCACCACATTCTAGGTTACTATTTTTTTATTAAATGTGCAACACTCAAAGACAACGTTGTGTTTTTATATTTTTTTTGTAGACGACTTAATATTAATTTTTCATTAGTCATGGGCCTATATTGTTTATTAATAGCATGTTTTAAATACATACATCCTACTTCTTACATTTTTTGTCGTTTTTTAAATTAAGTATATATTTTTTATTGTGTTTACATCATTAACATATAACTGCCCACTGCTGATCAAATCCCTCTTCTCACACAGAGAAGGATTTAGCATTAATCGCCATGCTTCATAAAAGCTGATTGCCTATACTATAATTAGAAATTTAAGTCACACCCGCAAGCATTAGGAGCGAGTGCCTTTGCCACATGGTTAACGTTTTTTTTTACTAGTGTTCAAAGCCTAGTAAAAAAATTAAATAAATCAACTATATCAGTAAGTCAATCGCGTTATAAACCCTTTTTGTTGGCCAAATCAACCACGTTCTCATTGAATGGTCTTTTAACAGCCTATGAACAAGAAAATTGATTTGACATAATTTTTTTACATTTTACTATAAGAAATGTAGTAGTAGACGTCAACTTGTTAATCTTGACCTCATAGTCTTCTACCTATTGGTTCACCAGACCACGCTATTTTACCATACCTACTTTGTTTAGTCAAGTGAAAATATGCAAATTAGCCAAGGTCATTAGTGATTACTGATTGATTGTTTTATGCTATTGTGAATTAGTAGTAAGTTTATTTTATTCTTTATTTTCTGTGGCATAAGACTGAAAATGATCCGGATTACCTGATGGTAAGCAATCAGAGTACTTAGTACATAAACGGTCGCAACACCACAGGAGTTGCAGGTACAAACGTCACCGCGTTTTGAAGGATTAATTATTGGGAATTTTCAAATTCGAATCACCAGTTAAACAAAGTAAAATAAGGTGTTTGGTAGTTCTCATCCGAATGATTATTATAGAAATATGGAAACAAATTCATGTTGCCTTCAATATTCGAAAGACTTAAGCAAAGAAACTCAAGATAGATTTCAATAAACAGAAATCGTTTCGTGTACTTCATCAAAATGTATGAGGTTGACATTAGCTTCCGAAACATAATGAGATGAAGCATGATGAAAATGAAACATCAGTGATTTTCAAATAAAAATTAAATCACTGTGATTCGATTGGTATCTACCAGCAGGTGCTGTCAAAGGCATGCGTGATTGATGATGACAAAAACTAAAATATAACAAATATTTCTGTATTTGATCGAAGATCAGTCAGCAGAGCTGTCTGACTGAGCAAACAAAATGTTTTAAATCTTGATCTCTCGAACTCTGGTGGTGGCTTAAATATTTGCCGGGGTTAAGGATAACGCACACTAACCGAAATCTCGACCGGGAGCCGAAGAAAGAATGGGTTGGTTTTTCACCAAAGTCGAGAGAAATTATCTCATGTTTTTTTACCAAAAAAAGAAGGTGTGGTAAAATATTAACAGCAAACCCTTTTAGAGGAAGTGTAAGAGCGAATGTTGCAGCAATTAATTGCCACGAAGTGGTGATAACTGCGACAAGCAATTAATAAAAAAATAAGTAAAGCAAAACAATACAAATGCTGGCGTATAAGAAGACACCTGTCTTCATACTAGACCTAAAGGACACAATATCACATCTCACGCACTTGACCTTCTATTAGAGAAATTCAGGCCAAGTTTACCCTTTACCTAACCCTAGTAAACGTGCACGTTAAACTAATCTTATTGCTTAAAATTCCTTATAAGAATTCCAATTTTAGGGTATTGGGATAAGGTCGAATATCTTTTGAGGAAAATTGACATCTTGGGATAGTTTGATGCGCGTTTGTACATGTAGGTTAACAGAATTACCTCTTTATGCCACGGACGGCCCGTTTGCCATTGAACCTAAACCAATATTAGCTTAACGAAGGTGTGAAGTTTGTTATGAGGTGTTTCGATTGTCCAGGACTTATCGGACCGTATAGGAAGGATCTAGTCATTTACATGTATCTTATTGTTGGTTATATTAATGCAGGAAAGATGGTGACATATATTATCCATTATACTCAGTTAGGCCACTAGATTTTTTGAGAATATTTCAGCTCAGTGGCTGGTCGTAAGTGTAAGACACAACCAGATTCAGTATGAATACAAGTTAGGAACGTCTGGTTACTGAATAACTGGCTAAATCCACCCGGTTTCAAGCTGCTCGGTTCCTAAAGGTCGTACCGCAATGTTTTATGGTCTTTAACCTTCTTTGGTAAACAAATGGACTATCTAATACAGAAAGAAATTCATTTCAAAACAATAGTTCCAGAGTACGTAGTTAATTAAACTGAGCATTTCTGAGTTTCTCTAACAAGATGAACTTGATCTATGTTTAATAAGTATATAATATGATCTTCTTATATTCAGGATCGATTCGAAATCATAGAAACACTAATAAGTGTGGCAGAATCATGCTTCGATAGGAATAGGTTGGCTCGACCAGAGTGATAGCTCAGCCTTACAGAAAGCAGGAGTTGATAACCATAGTGTTAAATTTCGTAGTGTGAATGAGCCAGGTTACCAGAAACCCATATCTCCCCTTGTCCCCCTTCTCAATTTCACAATCTTGAATCTCCGAATTTCTAACCCCCAAAAGGCTTGTAAGTCCTCTCGTGTTTTGTTGTCCATGGGTATCGATTGGTACCATCAGGTAATACGCCGTTTCCAACCAGGTATCAACTAGGGAATTCCGAAGTCATGCTTCGTAGTCACCCACGATGACTAAATAGACAGACAGTCAATAAGTAACTTACTCAATCACTAGGCTTTCTAATAAAGTTAATCCAAGGTTTGATTGACTGTAATATCTAACTATTTACTAAGATTGTAGCCAAATTAAATAGAAGGAGGTATTTAGCTGCCAAACTTCCTGCGACTAACCTTTGACCTTGAAAAGATAATGTTCCTCGCAAGGATAGATGAAAATTTCTAAATCGATTTCACATTAATCGTTTTGTTAATCGACTAAGATCGAGGTTCAATGAAAAAACACCTCTATTTTTTCTCCATAGGAAGCTAAACTTTTAGAACGATTATCGTGCTAATTAACTGTTACTTGAGTTCGATATTATAACTTTAGAAGCGGCAATTCTAAAGGGGTTATTACAATAAATGGTTAGAGTTCAACTTTACGTTTAGTTCCAACTAGTTACCGAGGTAGGTGTTTTATTTTTAAATGAAAGAAGGGCAAAATTATTGATGTATAAATGGATAAAAGAGTGATATACTTTTTTTTTAATAAATATCTCTAGAGTACAAATAATTTTCATTCAAATTTTTTTGGATAGTCTATTTATTGAATAAAGGCTAATTATCACAACACAAACTATAGGATCTAAGCAGTGGTATGCTGTAGATGCTTAAGATATCTTTGGCAGAAAACAAAAATTTATTAGAAAAATTTATTTAATATAATCAATATCATGATAAATTAGTTGAAAATTTATATCATTCGATAGTTCATTTTAATCAATAGATTTATAAAATACTAAAATAGATAACATACTAATAAGAAGTTGATTATGAAATGGTTCTTATCCGTCCACCAAACTTATCCTTTGAGTAATTTGTTCTGCCTGTAATGTACTGGTAATTTGAAGTACATCCATTGCTTTTCAAGGTCATAAGCATTGCGTATCATTAAAGAAATTTCTTTACTCAAGTCTAGAGCATAAAGAACAAAATTGAGCAAATTCTTAAAGGACTGTCTCTATTTTTTTTTTTACAAATGCATTTTTGTGGTTGCGTATTATTGTGTGCTCGTTTCAATTTTACTACAATAACACAATCAAGTGAGATTTAAAAAAAAAACTAATACTTTATAAATTAGATTACGATAGTAAATGGATAACAAATTAGGTACGACAAATTAATAGAAATCCGCAAACAATTGAACCGAAACTCGCGGCACAAATATTGCTAAACGTAACAAAAAACTCACGTGCAAACTTCGCGGTGCAGTCGCTGACGAAAGACGCCGCTGACACCAGAACGAAAACCAAAACATATCTCCTGTCACACATACTAACACTTTCGATCGAACCGCGCGAGCGGCGAAGACCACTAAAACCTGGAGCGAACTAAGTACGCTGACCCTCGTGCCTATGCAGTTCGCTTATGTAAATCCAAACGAGTTCTTTATATCTATTGCATAAATTTGGCCAACTCTTTGCCAATGTGAAGCCTGGTTTTCACGGAACGCTAGCCACTAATCCGTTCCACAAAATGTTCGCGACGTGAATGCGCCAGCCTGCCTGCGCCTACGACCGTATTCTGGGATTTTGCACCGCGATTGGCCAGCTGTGTTGTTTTCGAAAAGTTGGTTCAAGTACGAAGGTCGCGGTGTCGAAGTTTGCGTACTTAATACTTTCATTGTGCTGGTGATGTGCGGACGTTGTTTCTTGTTTTTTAGTCGGAAAATGCCGTGACCTCAATTTTTTATAAACCCTTGTAATTTTCCTGGATGTTATTAATTGAAATTATGAAATAAAATGCTTTATTAATTTTGTATGAAGCACAACGAAGAACACGAGCCATACTCCAATAAAGCTACTTAACTTGAAACATATATTCCACTTCACGTTGAGTTTCAAGAAAACCCTTTTGGAACAAATCCCATGAAATCGCGAAATATAATTTTCTGTTTAACGTCTCTATTAGTAGGTACTTTGAATTACCATTACTCTTAACTTGAAATAAATTAAGCGATGCTCTTCTGGTTTTCTATTAGTTGCTTCTCAGTTTTCCCTAACCAATATTTTGGGACCTTGCTTTTCTGTTCCAAGAGTCATTAATGTTTTTGATATAATTATGTTTATTTAATAAATTTTATATCGTAAATAAATTTTGATTAATTGCTTAATATTAATTTAGTTCACAAAACATCGATTACTAGATTATATTTTCATTAAAGGTTTTTGTTATCTTTCAGTTATGCTGTGACCTACGACTTCCAAATTAGTTTCTAGTTTTTTTTTTTTGATCACTTAAACTTCAAACGATTTCTTTTATCCAGGGTGGGGCGAGAGGGAGTGAGTAGCTGAAGGTTTCAGTAGCACCATTGTACATATTTATTTGTTAACCATTATTGTACGAACAATAATGTATGAATAAGTAACGCCTATATTCTCCGCGAAAGGACTTCTAGAAAAACGTCGCGTATCATTTACTCTTTACGTTGCGTAAACAGTAAGGCAACTAAGCGAAACGGGTCAGTATGGTGGTCGCCGGCAACCTATCACCAGTAATTGTGCAAGCCAACCTTAAACCCAATGAAATTACGGAATAACAATATGTTTAAAAATTAAAATGATGGAATTTACTTGTATTTTATATTTTTGCAATTGGTTAATGACAGGTTGGTCGAGTTGCCGTTTGTAAGCAGCGCTGCTGTTTGATGGTACATGTTTACCACAGCGTAAATTCACCTGTAATACCAGAGGGCATCACTTTGACGACCGTGTAGGGAACTGTTTAACTACGGCCTCGTTTTCAGGAAACCTTCTTCCTCGAAAACGATATTGCAATGGGAATTTTAGCTGTGTTTGTTATGTAAACCGATATCAAAAGTTTATTGATTATTAAAATTAAAGAAAAATATTTCACAACCTATTGAAATACAAAAAACACTCGTAATATGTGGATAAATGGGGTACCTCAGCACCGGCCTAGAGCAAGAGAAGAAAAGGGGGGTTTTAGTCAGCAAGAGTCTGACTGGAAGTCTAAGGGCGGGAGAAGTCATATGATGATTTTTCCCCGACAAAAAATGTAGATAAATAAATGATTACGTAATCAACAATTAACCTAAATATAATAAAATAGCTAGCTTTTCCAGTTGAAGCGAAGGTGCGTGTTCGTTGCACTTATGCATTTAATCATTTCAAGGTTTGGAAGCCTACGACTGCGCATTGCGCTTGCAATGCGTTGGTGTTGAAACAGCTAATAACTTTCATGATTCATCAATATCTTTGTAACGATTGGTATTTTCCAATAAATTTAAGTAGACGCACGTAAAACTACCCATAAATTAAAGATTTCCTACTCTATTGCAAAACGATAAGGTTGTAAATATATTTGACAGATTTAGTAGAACTTTATTTACTTACTATGCTATGTCGAACTTTGTTGAACTATGTTTAAATAATGTGTTTTTAATCATCATTTAACCAATCGCTAGTTTTTTTATTATGGAAAACGAGAAGACGGATGGTTATCCGTCATGTCGTCCGCAATACCAAAGGACTTACTACTTTTGTTGGTCATTAGGGATTTAAGGATTTAAGGTTGTCAGACAAAGATGTCGTTTATAAACTTTTAGATATTTACTTAGAGACAACCGCAGCGTTGTTTGGTGAAACAACCACAGCATTGTGTTTCGCCGTGTGAGCGAGGTTACCGGAGGCCCAAACCTTTATCTCAAACAATTTCTCCCAAATCCCTAATCCCCAAAAGGTTGGCAACGCACTTGTAACTCCTCTGTTACGGGTGTCCATGGGCGGCGCTGATTGCTTACCATCAGGTAATCCGTCTGCTGGTTTGTCGACCTATTAAATAAAATAACTATGTTCTGTAAGTGCCTATGCCTACTTCTACGAAATCAAATAATTTAATTATGTAAATGAATCTTAATTCTACGCATTATAATGATATTATACAATTATAGTGATTATCGTCATGTAAACTTAACATTTATTAAAGTTATTTTTCTTTTTGTTTAACACGCAAACATGCATATATTACTGCAAGTATGAGTTATTATTGCTTGATGTTAAATAAGGAATAATTTATCTTTATCAGCTGTAACAGAAGTAAACAAACACTGACCTACCGCAATCATAATCACAAAAAGACTGTACCTAGCTGTAAATTTCATCATATAGCTTTGCTATGCAGCAATATTTTCTTTAACTTTATTTTTATTTTATTTCTTTATGTGATGGGTCGACAAACGAGCAGACGGATTACCTGATGGTAAGTAATCAGTATGGAAGCATTGAGCCTCTGTTAAGTTCACTAATACGGCGAAAGAACACCCAAGCATTATATCACGTCGATTTTCTGTGAGGTAGTATCACAACAAACCGAGCCAGTCCACTTTTCCTTCATCACTTTTCCATACTTTTTCTCAGTTTTCATAGCTTGAATAAAAATTAACTTATTATCTTCTATGTTATCTTTTCCTCCTATTTGTAATCAATTTTGAACACGGATAAGTGTAGATATATTGTCATTATTTTTTACAGACGTGATTAATGAGATCGGTTCTATAGGTCTTAAAAAGACAAAACAACAGTTTGCATCAACTGAATAAAAAATAAGCCATAGTTAGAAAAAAAAACTTGTTATTGATTTAACATACAACAGATTTCCTTAGATTTAAAAAGTTTGATTCCAACATTAAAACTCATTTCAAAAAACGCAAAATTTCAAATTCCAAAACTAATTCCAAAAACCGTTAGTAGCATGATGTAAATCCTATAGAGAAGTAGGTTACCCAAATCAACTGACTAGTTGGAATTCGAGGATTTCGTCTGTTTACCATGAATGTTTATTCCACTATCTCGCTGTAAAGATGGCGGCATAAACTGGATCACTGAGCAGCTCCATTACATTTCGACGAACCCATACTCTGAAATGGAAACCTAACAAAGCTTCGGAAATGAAAATATGTACCTACTAGTAATAGTTTAAAATAAATTTAGTTATTCTGCGTGGTTCAGTGTTTAATACTAAGACACACAATAATTATGTTTTATCTTTATTTATTTTCAACCTAAAAAGTGAATTATCAGTTTCTTGTTCTACAAAAATGTATAAAACACTAACCTTATCGGGACGAATCTAAGCCACTAGTGATCAACTCTCAAAAGATGGAAATTAGGCGAACGAACCAAACGAACCGAACGAACATCAGTGAGACATGGCTGAGACCGAATGAGCAGGCGTGTGCGCCTTGTCCTTTAAGGTCCTTTTAACCAATAAAACAGATAACTTAGACTTCTATCTAAGAAAAGTACCTATGCTTATCTTCTTTGTTGGGTTGACAGTTTTAGTCTAAAGGGTTCAGGTTTATTACAGAGCGCTGTAAAAAGAGTAAAGGTACAGTTTTTTTAACCATTCCTATTGAGTCAGCAAAATAAAAACGTAAAACCCAATAAAAGACTCTAATTATGACTACCAATCGACTATATGACGGCTTGTTGAAACTTGATGAGTGTGTCAGTGACATTCAACTCGACAAATCTGAATGAAATCTGAATTCAATGCGTTCACCACTATGAATGAAACCTTTGAACGAACACGACCTACTATCGGCTGCCAGACACACAAAAATTGTGGGTCTTTCACTACTTGTAGTAGGAATAATTGCTGAACTGAAATCGTCTTTATGGCTTATTATTATTTTAGCAATATCATAATTGCGAAAGTTTATTAGTACGCGGATGGATGGATATTTGTTACTCTTTTACGTAAAAACAATCGAGTCGATTTCGATAAAAATTGGAACAGAGATATTTATTCTAGAACCTTTGGCTTTGTTGCCATCGATAGAAAGACAAAAAGAAATGTAACAGTTATTTTTCCATTTGCTGCTTTTATTGGTAAAATTTTTCTTCATATCAAAATAATAAGCACAAATATTGTAAATATTTTTGAACAAAGACAATAAATCTGTTTACTCATTTCACAGAAAATTCATTTCCTGTTGTATTTTACACGTAATAAACATGTAAGGTAGTATAATAAAACTTTATGGTTCGAACTGTCTTTGCTTCAATAATGTCTATCTGGTAGTATCTGGTTTAATGTCGATATGCCTGAGAGACTGTGGAACAGAGAAATTATTGCTTTATTTATTATTTGGGCTATAACATAACATGTCTTAGACGACCAAAATTTTTACTAGTGTTGATGTAAGAATAATATGTCCGCAAAAATGTGTTATAGGTGATTAATTTTACTGCGAAATGATGACAATTGTTTGGCTACTGAGCCGAGCAATAATAGCTTCACTAAATAAAACCATATTATTCTAATTTTAATGTAACAATCGCTACTGTCTCTGTACTTGATCTTTTATTTTTTGTTAGCATAGTAACGTTCTCCGTGTGAGAAAACCCTTTGCCCAGCAATGGGCTCTTAAAGGCTGATGATGTAAAGCGTAGCGAAACTGTACAGACTATACGTTTGTGAATTAACTCTAGCGAACCGGCTTTCCATGGGTACAATGCTGATGCTACTCCACTTTTTAGTGTTTTTTTTTTACAAATAAATCTTTATCTTTTATCACTCTATCTAATTAAAAACTGCACCAAAATCCGTTGCATTGTTAACACTAGAGGAATCACAAATGTGTCCGTGTATTACATCGGATCTCTGTTGCAAAGGTTTGGATGTCGGTAAATACACCCGGCGAGATATCAAAGTTGATTATGACCCCAGTTACTCCAAACGAGGATTTTGTCATGTTGTGGGTGCGTTTAAAACATAAAATTTCACATACCCAGATGGTACAACGGTCTGCACACCCGAGACACGTTACGCGGCAGCCAGTTACCCAGCCACCGTGCTAATATATGTATAGTACAAGCCAAATACTTAGTTATATTCTGAAGTTATATACAACCATAAATTCATCTATTTTTCGCCGCTCTAACGTCAACGACCATTTAAAGGCCAACGAGGTACGCCTGCAATGTTTATTATTGTATAAAATGTACGTTAAAGGCAATCATTACTTCAAGCACCAAGCTAGCAAAGGCTTATTTTGTGGTCAAATGTGCAGTAATTATTTTATGATAGTTGTTTTAAAATTACTCCTTAGTGTTTTGGTATTTTAGCACTATAACCTCGGAACAGTAAATCTTAGGACGAATTTAGTGAGCGGTAGAGCATTTTATGTCTTTTTAATCTCATTTCTCTCTTTAATTTTAAATCTTGTTTTTAATTCATTGTCTATATTTTCTATAATAGTTTATGAAGGTAGTTCAGTTACAGTACACGTTGATGATGTGCGCTTTCAACGCGGAATCCGGTGTACGTCAGGGATATATTCTTATATATATAATTTTAAATACAACGATTTTTATCTCCAGTATGGCAGCTTGGATGAGATTGTTTTCGGGAAAGAAATTGTTGGTCTACTCAAAAGCCATGGGATCATGTAAAAAAAATTGTAAAAACTTAAAAAAATAATGTCAGTCCTTGCTCCTCAGTAATAGCGCCCCTGTGGGGGAGCTGCCCGCCTCCTCACGCCCCAGCCGCAGCAGTAGGCGACACTCTGAGCTTGGGGAATCGAGAGACGATCTCTGGCCACCGTAAGCTGACTCGACCTGAGCGTACAGCGTGTAGCGTTCCGCGCGCGCCTTAAAGAGCCAACAGACCACTAACGGGGCTCTACTAGGCTGGTGTTCAGCTGGGGTTGCAGGGTAAGCGCAATGAGGCACCGCGGCCTCGGCCTAAAGCAGTAGAAGGAACGGGGAGGTGGGTTAAGTCAGTAAGAGTCTGACACTTTCGCCTCACCTTGGGCGAGAGAAGTCATTTGATGATTTTCCCCTGACGAAAAAAAGACGAGTGTTTTAAAACTAGAATGCTCAGTTACTTCATATGAGTTAGGAGTTATTTTAAATGAGGTTAGTTATTACAAATAATTCATTTTTACTTACTAGTTTTAAAGCTAGCTTCCTTTATTGTGCAACTAGCTTTGACCGCGACTCCGTTCGCGTGAAATAGTGACTTCCTGTAGATTTTTTATATAAAAACTACCCTATGTTTTTTCTCGAGTTCCAAACTTTGTTTGTACAAAATTCACAGAAATCGGTTCTGTGGTTTAAGCGCGAAGAAAAGACAGACATACAGAGGTACTTTCGCATTTATAGTATTAGTTTAGATTAGCTTGCAAATAACCTATTTTACTAAACTAAACAATTTATATAGCTTAGCTTTAGTATCTATAGTTATTGACAGGCTGTCAATTACAAAACAAACTCTGGTTAGCCGGTTTAAACCCCACTCGTAAATTAACAATGCAGTAAATCGAGTGATGTTAATCCTATGCAAGTGAATAATTATATTACTATTTTGTTGAGTGTAAAATTAGTTTGATGTATACTTATATTATAAAGAGGTAAAATTTGTAAGTTTGTATGTAGAGGGTAATCTTTGGAACCGCTGGTCGGATTGCCCAAATTCTTTCATTGATGGATAGCTACAATGTTCCTGTGTGCTATAGGCTAAAACATCACACTACGATTAAATGGAGCCGAGGAGCGGGTGAAACCGCGCGAGATTAGCTAGTATTATTAAATTTGAGCGTTCAAATTATAAATATACCTTAAGGAGTTCAAACAGACATCAGTTCAAAGAAATATCACCCGTAATGACATTGTTTTATTCAGTTAAAGCTTTTAAATCGGTTTTCTTAAATTTGAGGATTAGTTAAATCTGTTTTAGTGCCTAAAATGGTGATTCTCTTTCGCTTAGATGCGAGATTGCCTATTTGCAAGATAATGTGATGCGCTGAAAATTAGACTTTCAGGTATTTTATTTCTTTAAATGTATATTTTTGAAGTATTTGTATTTTTTATTGTTTCTTATCTAAACGCACGGGAAAATAGAAATATTACGGACAATAGGTATATGCAGGCTAGTAAAATATAAACAAATAAGAACAAACGAAATTAAATAATATTTATTTTTTGTCTTATAACTTTAAGAATAACCCCAGAAAATTTTTCATTAAAAAAAACACGTATACTTTTCGTGAAATACTTATAAGCGCCTGGCGTTTATTTGTAAGCAATAAGTGGTTTTTAGGCGCCTAGAAAAATTAAATATTCGTGAATTATTTCACTGTAGCTATTTATAGATTCAATATTCCATTAGTATTTATTTACACTGGCAAAATATGACTCTTAATTATTACTAAACGCAATTATTATTGTATTAATTAAAATTGTGGTAAATCTTTTCTTATCGCATAGATAAATAATTATTAGGAGTAGGTTCTTAATTGAACTTGGAATTGCACTTAATAATTGCTCATTGTGTGTCTAGAACTCAATGTACATAAATGTAAGCGTAAAATCAGAGAAGCTCTTTGGTAATTAATAAATATTCCATGCTAGGTTTATTTTTTAACTAGCGAAGACTAGCTTTGTAACCCGCCCTAGTTTTGCACGGGTGCAACGATGATACTAATATACATAATATGTTTTACCATGTTAATATCTAGGCGTTTAATATACGACCCTCTGCAATCAGTTCATCTATAAAAAAATCGTATCAAAATCCGTTGTATAGTTTTAAAGATTTAAGCATTCATAAAGTTATAGAGGCAGAGAAAGTGTGGTAGAGCCATGCTTCGGCACGAATGGGTCGGCCTGACCGGAATGATACCACGGCCTCACAGAAAACCGGCGTGAAACTACCACAGCGTTGTGTTTCGCCGTGTGAATGAGGTTAGAGGAGGCACAAACCTTTCCCTCGCACGATCCCTCCCCAATCCTAAAATCTTCTAATCCCTAATCCCCAAAAGGTTGGCGACGCACTCGTAACTCTTCTGGTGTGACGAGTGTCCACGGGCGGCGCCAAATCCGAATGCTAGTTTGCCGTCCTATCACATAAAAAAACAACTTTGTTTTATATAATGCTGGTTGATAGATAGGCTATACTATCTATGAAAATAATTCAGAAGGATAAGAAACACTTTTACCAGCTCCGAGTGTTCGCCATTTTTATAAACACAATGTTGTTGAGAAAATGTTATTGAATTTTTATTTTAGTTTCAAAATTTAATACGGCTGTCAGATTTAAATTAGATATGCAACTGCTATTCACTTGTGTAATAAATTTACTGTACCATGCATCGTTACGGGCCAGCGAGAATGCTCACTTAGCTTTTCGAAATTCTATGCATTTAAACAAAATAATTGAATATTTATGTATGGTGTTGCAATAACTTATTCACATTTTTCCATAAGAATCACAATGCTGGGTCTGTTTTTGGTAGCTGGCAGTGAGTTCGTAGGTTTGCCTTTGTTGATCTGTTTCATAAAATAACAAAAAAGTGATTATACTTTAAGAAAGATTATCCCTTCCTCTAACGGCATCTCAAAACTTTAAAAAGACGAAATATCTTAGAATTGGATACAAGTTTGCGCAATCAGCCGTCATTGAAGAAACACGTGTATAACAATTATTAGTCGTCCATTTTTTATTGTCAGTTTTATGATATCAAGCATCAGTGTTTATACGGTTCATTCTTCGTACATTCATACGCAAAGAAGTTAAAATAAAATGTTTTTAAAAAAAATCGCAGTATTTTTCGCTTTCATATTTTTCGTTTTTTCTGACGCTAGTTTTGGTAAGTGTCCAATTTTTTTTATTTATGCACATTGATTGTGCTCAATGTTTGTTTCAAAAACTTTTATGTTAATTTATAAGCGTAGTAAAAAAATTCGTCTTCCTGTCTTTATTTTTAAATAATATTTGAATTAATGTGGATGTCAATACATTCAGTTTTGCAAAAAAAATTTTCATTTAAAATTTAAACGTTATAATTCGTCTTTATATTTTTTGTCCTAGAATTTATATCTATAATACATAGATGCGTAATATTTTACATTATGATGATAAACTTTGAAATGAAAGGTTTTCAATCCATACTGCGTTCTGCGAACTACATGTGTGTATCCCTTCTTTTTGTTTCAGTCGATAACCTTCCAAAATGCCACCTCGAGGACAATGAGTGCTTAAGGGATTTGTATGAGACTGTGATCAGAGATATTGGAAAACATGGAATACCGGACCTGAATATTCCACCAGTGGATCCCATTCGTTTAACCAATGTAACTGTCTCTGTGCTTAATGTGGTAAACATCACAATGATTGATGGAGTAGCCAAGGGCATCAAAGACTGCCTCTTTGAAAAGTTCAGGTGAGAAGAACTCATAACTCATTTAAGATTTTTCATCACCCACACCTGATGGTAAGCTATTGGCGTCGGCCATGGACAACCGCAAAAACAAAGGATTGCATGCAAGTGTGTTGCCATTTTATGTGCTGTCAGAAATTTGAGGATCAGGAATTGAGGAAAGGGGAAGGGAATATTTGAGCCTCTTGTTAATGATTCGGACACGGTACGAAGTTTGCTGTGTTGTTAGTCTGTCCTAATTCATCTACCTATATTTAATGAAGTAGATTATTAAACTCCCCTAAACGAAGTATTCTAAGCATATTGTTTAATGCAAAATGCATAGGCACCACTATGAAAACAACAAAATCATCTGAAGCATAACATTATGACAGTTTTTTCTGCTTATGAACTCAAGTAATAGTTATTATGGAAATCAAGTAGACATGACGTTGTTAGCGTCAAATGGAGTGAATCTAATCGTTCTCTTTAGAAGTGACCCTGCATTTAATAGCTGGTATAAGTTCCTTTGTCCTTGCTTCTGGTAGATACATTTTAGTTTTAAGGACACTAGACCTGTTTCATTTATCGAGTGGTGAACAGAGTGAATTAAATTCGTACCAGAGTTAGAGCTCGATTTAAGTGTCGATGGTAAAGTACAAATAGGTTCTATAATATCCAAATCCCCAGTACTTAGTTGCAGGAAATTCAAAATTGGAACATTTAATTCATATTGCAATGGAATACGGTCCAACCAACTAGTCAATACTTTTATCCAAATTTAAAAAAAACGATGCTTTACTATGAAATGTATATGAAACTCTAAATTATGAAGTCATAGTATTTTTAAGTCAATATCTTACTTAATTCATAAAAAATTGTCAAAAAATATAAAAAAAAATTGTACGTGTATCGATAGATTGATGATTAAAAGACCTATAGTTATTTTTCAATATTGAATTTTATTTAATTCATTTATTTTTGATCTAGGAAACTACCCAATTGTGGCGATACCGCTAACACGTGGCGTATTTTTTTGTTTCTCTTCGAGGTTAAACTTAATTTGATTAAACATTTTATTACCGGCTTCAATTATAACGTTATTTTGATTTTAGTTGCTGTACAAAGTCACTATGCATTTTCTACAAAATTGCAAAATAACATTTAAGTTATCAACGAGTAATCAATTGATCGTAAATTCGAGCACACAATTTGAAATTATCGTTCTATAGTCCTTCAGATTTTAATTATGAAGAAGATTATCAATAAATCAAAACAAGAGCAACAGCTCCAACAGTTGCTTTAAGTAGCTAAGGCATTCACAGACAGCTGCTGACTGACAACTGATGTACAACTGAGATTGCGGGGAAATTGTAATAAGGCATCGCAGCCTCGGACTTGTTCCGTGCAGGGTTAGGCGAGAGAGAGTGTCAGGCTCTTATTGACTAAAAACCCCCCGTTCCATCTTCTGCTCTGGGCCGAGGCTGCGGTGCCTCATTGTGCTCACCCCGCAACCCCGGCTGAGCATCAGCCCTATAGGGTCCCAAAGCAGGAGAAGGAACTGGGGGTTCTTAGTCAGTAAGAGTCTGACACTCCGTCTCGCCTCATCCTGGGCTAGAGAAGTCTTTTGATGATTTTCTCTTACCAAAAAAATTTACCTCTCGAATTTCCAGAGATAAAAACAACGGTGCAAGAACTCTCATTGTTCATATTATTTGTATTAATAGTATTTGTAAAATATATAGTAAATATATACTTATTAAAGATATTTCTTAGCATTTGTCTATTACACGTGTCAGTTTGAGGATATAAAAATAAACAGCTTTATAAATACTATAATAAAAATATTAGAATATCATAATTCAGAATGACGTTCTTTTCTTAGCTAATTATTTTTGGCGCTATATAACCAGTTGGCCATGGTCTTAAAACTAGTCTGGGTGCATATTTCTTTATTCTTTTTTGCAATTATGTTTGATTAATCTCTATAATTTCCAGTCTACTAGACGAGTTTGAAAATTAAATAATTTCGGTTGCACACATCAGGTTGCCACTTTGTTTTGACATAAGCAACACTAAGAAAAAGAAACAGATACTGATTGTAATATTATTGTCGTAATACAATTATAATTAGTAATTAATCTTCTTTCATTCTCTTTTAAATCCAATTAAGTTTTACTTTCCTACTAATAAGTAAGTCTGTTATAGTCTAAATCTGCCATATAGTAGTCTATATATTACAATAAACGTTTTATTAAAGTGTTATTTGTTTTTTTTTATTTCAGTATCAACATTACTTCAGAAATTGGTCACCAAGAGAACACATGTGATCTGACCATCAAAGGTCATTATAAAGTTGATACGACAAGTTCGTTAGCAGAAAACCTTTTGGGGGGATCGTCAGTGCATGGCGATGGAAATGGAAAATTGAAAATTGGTAACAATTAAAAATATATCGTATAAGTTTGATTTTAAGCAACATTTTTGTGTATACAAAGCAATCGGAGATGCTCATGGACACTCAGAATTACAAAGGAATTCTAAATACGTCAGCCTTTAAAATTACTGCATCACGGTTGGCGCAGTGGCTAGGTAAAAGGGCTGCCGTGCAACGTGTCGCGGGTTCGATTCCCGGACGTAACATCTCTTTGTATGATCCACAAATTGTTGTTTCTGTTCTAGATGTGATGTGAAATTGCATGGTTGTAAACACACCCAAGTTTTTAAAAATAATATTGTTAGTACAGTACTAACAATATTATTTTTAAAAACTTGTGAGATCAGTAACTGATCTCACAAGATCTTTGAAGCATTTTTCAGCGATAAGACTGCCAGTTTTACTGTCTTTTGTGTTTGTTGTTTGCTTTGTTTTTATTACCATGGTGTGCATACAATAAAGAGATGGTATAGGACTTGAAATCTTAGGTCATAGAATTTCATCGTCACTATGCTTTCCAAGATTCACATGACTCTTGTTATTTATTCAACAACAAAGCCTTTTCGTGTGTTCCAGACAAACTGCATTTGAAATTCGATTTTCCTTTTTACGCCCGAAGGCGCGATGACGGCGAGATCTACATAAAATGCATTTACGACCTCATCAAGTACGACTACGAAATCCAAGGAAAAGTCGCTTTCTTTGCTGATAATCTTTATGTTGGAGAACAGGAAATCAGTAAGTATAAATAATATGACATAAACATATAACAGAGACTGTAAAATTTGATAAATTGCCGCTAAGATACGATCCCAATTTAAGATTGTTTTTTATTCATATGTTTTTTTTTTAATTGTTAGCGCTAGCGCTGTTGCACCCAATGTAGTTAGTTATATCTTAAGGACACTGTAGAAATGTACCTATTTTCTTGTATTGCTTCCCAGCCAAACTTTACTTTCTCAATCTCATTGAAAGCAAAGCCTTTTATTGATGCGTTAATCATGAAATGGCTTTTCGCCGTAGTTGGAAAGGAGATTTTACCTGTTTGATAACTTTCTAATTTCTTCTCGTGCGCGTATGTACGCGCTGTATGTACGCTTGCATCTGCAACCGCGGCTGAAAATCAATAATAATGCTACAAAAAGGGTTTTTCAAATACATGATTTATTGTTATACCCCAAATAACATTTTTTGAATAATTATTTCAAAATCACACTTATTTTTGCTTGAATTTTTGTTTGAACACAAAAAGTGTTCATTTAATATTATGATCGTTGGCCATAATTAAGATTCACGTGAGCCTTAGAGCAAAAAATGAAAAAAAAACAAAAGCTGCTAATTGTTTGGTCCTCAGGTTTGGTGGAGCTCCTTAAACGTAATTAACGTCAATGGATTTTTTTTTGTTTAAATCACTGGGAATAAATGTCCAGATAATAATAAAAATATTTTGAGATTAACGTTGCATACAAAATAACGTAATTAGGCTGATTATGAGTCTTATAAAAAATACTTGTACTTTGAGCATTTTTTGCTTATTACAAATTTTGAATTAATTTTATGTTTAAAGATTTAGATTGATACCAAGGCGTATGTGATCTTCAAGTACTTTATTTATATACCTACCTACTTTTTGTATACCGTACAAAACAAAAACATATCACATTGTGACGGATTTTAATTCTTAATAAAAAGCTCGCATACTTACGGTCATTTGTTAATATTATATTTAAGTCCTTTCAATAATATATTCTCGAAATTAGAACATTGTAGATATTTTTCAAAAATTAAGTTTCGGTGTGTTAAAAAATTTAAATTATTCTTTTACTTTCAGGCACTCCTATAATAGCGATGCTGAACGAAAACTGGCGTTTCGTCATGTCTGGTTTTGGTCAGCCATTTGTCGACAAAGCCATGGAGTTCTACTTCAGATTCGCTGGTTACTTCTTCGATAATGTTCCTGCTAGATATTACATCATTGATGACCTGTCGCCATATGCTAAACCCTGATTCAGAAGTTTCTCGAGACCACGGTCATTGGATTACATTATAAAGGATATTATTATTAAATATGGTTTTGTTTTACTTCATAACATCTCATTTTTTAATTTTGGAAACATTATTTAGAGGTGTGGTCATGTTATGTTAAGCTATGTCTCTGATAAAGGGGTGGTATAAAATCAGTGTTTTTTGAGAATTTTGGAAAATTTAAACATTCCAATACTCTTTTATCCAGTTTGGTTGACTTTGAAATACTTGTCATAACTGTATTCTGACTGCAGTTTGAAAAACTTATGTTCCAAATTGGAGACCACGTGCGAACAAAGAGTAAGACTTCCATCTACAGGGTGAATAGACCGCCTAATTAAAGTTACAAGGAATCGCTGGATGGCGGTAGCTTCCAACTGGCCTATCTGGAAATCATTTGAAACCTCGTCTCAAGTCTGTACTCTACTAGGCCTCATGTCTGGTACGATACTAACTTTGATAAGTCTTAAACATTAAATGCAATAAATTTAGGCAAAATTATGCAAGTACTGGTCTTTGCCAGTTTAGCTCAATACTACTATTAATTATAAGTGTGGGAGAGCCATGCTTCGGCACGAATGGGTCGGCTCAACCGGAGTGATACCACGGCCTCACAGAAAACCGGCGTGAAACAACCACAGCGTTGTGTTTCGCCGTGTCAGTGAGGTTACCGGAGGCCCAATCCTTCCCCTCCCCCAATTCCTCCTCAATCCCTAAATCTCCAAATCCTCAATCCCTAAAAGGTCGGCAACGCACCCATAACTCCTCCGTTGCGGGTGTCCATGGGCGGCGCTGATTGCTTACTACTTACTTATCAGGAAATCCGTCTGCTCGTTTGCCGACCTATAATTACATAAAAAAAATATATACATTTATAGTTATATGTACCAGTTCCGATAAAGAGCAGATGTTGCTGTTTTCTTTACATGGAATAGTTTTTGAATTGGTGATTCAACATGAAATGATATTTGAAATTACGATACGATAGATACTTACTTATTATTCTGATTTGTTTACATAATTGTCACCTTTTTGATAAAGTTTTTCACATACAAATGGCAAATTCATTGTGTAGAGAGAGAGAAAAGGAATGGGATTCCTAACTTGACCCACCCAAGAATAAGTACCTAGTTAACCGTGAGCACCCATGAGGACACTAAAGAGACGCCTTCTAAGACTCATCATTAGTAAGATCTGCATTTCCTTTAGGCCCCACTGTGGACGCTGAGACAAGATCACTGCACCACCGTCTTTACTGAGGTCACCGGGCATTAGTTACTTATCATCTATTTATCTCAACGTAGGAGAAATCTAAATTCTACGTGGTATAGTATACGTAGAGCTGTAGGTAAACACTAAAAGAGCAATCATAATACTTTATAGTATTTCTATTAATATAAAACCAGTTTTATATTGTACTCTGTGATTAATTCAATTACATTGTGATTGAATTCAAAATAAAGTAATACCATTAATGTTTAATAACATTTTATTTCATGCAAACAAAAATAACACAATTTAAAAGCTAAATTATAGTGAAGGATATTAATAATAATATCGTACTAAACTACTAGGTACAACATTTAACAGTGCGTGTTCAGTATAAATTTAACCTTTTAGATCTTCGATAAAACAAACATGATAATTTAATATTTATTCATTTGTTTTTCATGCTTTGGTATTTGGTTTTTATTTTAATTTATTGTAAATTCTAAATATTGCGACAAAATTGTTTTTTATTCCAAATTGAACCTGCAAATTGATGTTTTTGCAAGCACAACACAAATATTTTCGTGACAGGATAACCAAATATTACAATTTATTTATAATATTTTATAGGTGGCTTTATAGACTAATATACATCTTTAATAACATGATAAGTACAGATAGGTCACTGTTAAGTAATTTAAATAAAAGAGAGATAAGCATCAAAATATTACAATGGTCATATTATAATTTTAAAATTTACGTACACGAATGTTTCGCGTGAAAATGAGCCAAATAAATCACTTACTTTTTATTTCAATCCTAAAGAAATGCATAGGTACTTTTATAGCAGATCAATCATTTACAAATACATAACATGTTGATTAAATTTAATTATAAATTGTTTTGTCTTAGCTCTTCACGTAAGGAGTTAAGTCAGTACTGATCACGTCCTTGACAGGTAAGGCGTCAAGAACTTTTTGTGCATTATCGTTGAAAACTACCAAGGCCAAGTCCATGACAGATTTTCCGAAAGTCTTGGCGATGAATTCCCAATTCTCATTTAAGATATTGGTCGTCACAGTACCTGGAAAAATAATAATAATAGAGGTTAGTATATCATCATCATCAGTAGGTACAGCATATTAGTGTGGGAGAGCCTTGCTTTGGCACGAATGGGTGGGCTCGACCGGAGTGATACCACGGCCTCACAGATAACCGGCATGAAACAACCACAGCGTTGTGTTACGCCGTGTGAGTGAGGTTACCGGAGGACCAATCTTTCCTCTTCTCCAATCCCTCAATTTCCAAATCCCTATTCCCAAAAAGGTCGGCAACGCACTCGTAAATCCTCTGTTGCGGGTGTCCATGGGCGGTTCTGATTGCGTACCATCAGGTAATCCGTCTGCTCGTTTGCTGACCTATTCCATAAAAAAACAAAAACATAATTGTGGACTGCCGACCTATTTAGGAAAAAAAGGCTTATAATAAAAGTAAGATGAATGAAATTTGAAATTTGACTGCACGGTTAGCGCGGCAGCTGGGCAACTGGCTTCTGCACAACATGTCGCGGGATCGATTCCCGCACGAAACAACTCTTTATGTGATCCAAAAATTGTTGTTCTGGGTCTGGGTGTGTATGTGAAATTGTATGTTTGTAAACGCAACCGCGACAAAGGAGAAAATCCTAGTGTTATCATCTTTTTCGATATGCTCTTTTGGAACTTATTATTCTTCTGTAGTCTTTTTTTTACACAAATTTACAAAAATTAAAGCATATTTTTTTCTGAAAGAATTTATCTATGATTATAATCTTCATTAGTTGTAAGTGTTGTAAAAATAAAAATATACTCACTAATATCTTGTGATCCAATGAATACACTATCAGCTGCAAACTTCACGTTTCCCAAAAAGTCAAAAGTATACGTAGTGTCTTCTGGTTTCATCACGAAACGAATGTCACCATTCTCATTTTTCAAAACTCCGTAGGCAATATCAAGGTCCAGTTTGATTTTTTCTGCGAATAAAAATAAATTAAACAATTGAAAATAGAACAGAAATTGATATTTCAAATAGGACTTAGGTACCTATGAAGTAGAGCTTTATAATTACAAAATTAACACAATGACAACCACATCGGATGCCTGATATTATTTAGATGGCATCCTATTGGTATGCTTTTTTATTAGTTTTAGTTGTCTAAATTCTGTACGTTATATTTAGTTCGACTCTACATAGATACTGACTTAACTTAATTGCCTCTATATTGTTGCTTTTTATCTATTTTTATTGTATAGGTACATTTTTCTTATCCAAACTAATATTATAAATGCGAAAGTAACTCTGTCTGTCTGCCTTTTCTTTACACCTAAACTACTGAACACATTTGTCTGGAGTTCGGTGCAGATATAGTTTGGAACTCGAGAAAATGTTTTTAAACCAAATATCTGCAGGAAATTACTATTCCACGCGAGCAAAGTCGCGGGGAAAAGCTAGTTGTTTATAATAGGTAGATATTAATGCATATCTTCGGTGGAATACAGAGTTATAACTAGGAAAATAATTTAATGCAGATATAAATGTGGATGAAATAAACTTACCAATCGCAACTGAACCTTGTCCTTCTCCATGAATATCAATAGTTCCGATAATTGCTTTCAGTACTGGAGTGACTTCAATCTTATACTTTCCACTTACGGAGAAGTTTTCACAAATGAGGCTTACTTTGGTACTTAGAGATTCTACGTCATTCCTAAAAAAAATCATATTATTATTTATTTGTTGCATCCTTACACATAGGTTATTATGTTTGTATTTTTCTTTCTACAATTAAAAATACAAATAATAAAAACTTACTGAAAACCATTTCCAACGCAGTTTTTAAATCCTTTGGCTGTTCCTTCTGCTATTATAATGTTTATCATTCCAAGAATAGATATCTGTTGATTTTTCAACTCAAACGGATCTATTTTGGGCACGCCTAATTCTGGGATGCCATTATTTGTTGCCTCTGCTAGTATACCACTATATAAGGCTTGCAAACATTCGCTGTCGTTGAAGTCACATTTTTTATTTATTTTATCGACTGGAAATAAGAAATTACGTTAAAAAGTTAAAAATGGTTATAATACACTACTTCTTTCCAGCCAGGGTTACGATTGCAAAGGGCCTGGAGGAGGCAGAAGAGGGAACGGTGAAGTTTTCTAAGTCTGACATGCTGTCTCATCTTACCCAAGGAAGTATTTTGATGGTCTAACCCTTAAACAAAAACCACTGCATTGTTTAGGCTTATCGCAAGTGCGACAACCCGATTAAAAACGACACAGTTGCAAATTAAGGTGAGATAAAGTATGGGGATGGAGTTTTTAAAATTTAAGAGCCTTATGGTTAATCTGCCTATAGATTCCAAAAACAATAAGATTCAAAAGACTACTCACAAATTGCTGCTGCGCTGCACAAAACAAAAATGGCACTGCTAAGAATAATCACTTTAGATTGAAACATTTTGGCACTGTTTATCCAGGGTGATACTAATCTAATGATAATTCACTGTAAGCTACTGAATTTATATAGTTTGATGCGGATGGTTGTTATATGTACAGTTAAAATTTTGGCAACTAGTGGTTCCGCACATCAAAACAGCGAATAAATCGCCAAGGCCACTGCCTAAAGCCGTCTAAATTTGACAAAAAAAACAGAAATTAAGTAATACTTTTCGAAATCATAAGAGGCAAAGTAAGTGCATAATTATTTAATTTATTTAACGTTTTCAAACTTTTGGGACTAAACTGAGGACCTAGTGGAATAGCCATAATCTATTAGTTTAACGTGAAAATCGATCGTAATTTATACAAATTACACATACATGTGCCACGTAAGTTTATTGGGTACTTATATAAAACTTTTGAATACCTATTTTACTGAATCCAGTTACAGATATAAAACACAGTACAATATGACTAAAAAAAGAAACCATGTTTTCGTTGTTTTTAATAAAATACATCAAGTCTGGAATGGACTGTACATTAAAAATCCAATTAAACCACTTTTTTGATGAATAAAATAATCAAAAATTTATGTTTATTGTAATATTTATTAAGGAAAAGATAAAGTATATGTAATTACTTTGTACTATAGTTAGGTATTTATTTTCAGACATATTGTATACAGTTTGATCGCCAGCTCGCCGCCCGATCAGAACCAGACACCGAAAGGCGTCAAAACGCCAACAGACCACCACAGATGGTGTCCAATAGGGGTGATGTTTAGCCGGGGTTGCAGGGTAAGTGCAATAAGGTTTTGTGGCCCCGGCCTGGAGCAGAAAAAGGGACTAGGTGGTTATAAGTCAGTAAGGGTTTGACACTGCCTTTCGCCCTACCCAGTGGGGGAGAAATTGTAACTGATTTCTTTTAAGGACTGATTTTTCAAAAGTTAGGCAATAGGAATAAAATTGTTGCTGTCACTGTCTTATACAAACATTCTGACGCGACAGCATCATATTTATTCCCCGGATAACTTTTATCTAACCATTGAAAAATCCGCCCTAAATTAATTAGCTAATAGTGAAACCCAAGTAAAAAAAATGAGTCTGAACCTAGGTCTCATCAGTCTAGTCTAATCTTTTACTGAAAGTTAGATACTAGCGGAGATCGATGTTATTTCGCTAAGTAATTGAATCGTAAAAAACAGCGTTTTACATTGAGCTTTACGGAACCATAAAAAGATTTTTTGCAAGTAATGAATTTTATTATGGGAAGTGTTGGCAATGTAAAAAGATATAATATAAATATAATTGTTAAAGTATCTATTAAAATTTGTGTGGAATATAATTATCCTTTATGTTAATTGTATTTTACAAAAATACCTATTTATGTTTATATCACAAAAAGTGCACCATTGTTATGGATTTTAACATGTCTGTATATTTTGTTTTATATTTCGTGATTTGAGGAAAAGAAATCTGTCATTGGTGTTACTGAAAACTACATTCACGGTCCTTCTTAAAACATGTGATTCCGTTAGTCCTATAATCTCAATCGATCAGTTCCGTCTTGTTCTGGCTGTAAATTGTATCCGGATTGATATAAAAATATATTTTGTGAGATTTCAGTTTTTTGTGATAGAACCCCAAACGAGCAGATGGATTACCTGATGGTAAGCATTCAGCGCTGCCCGTAGAGACGACACGAGATGAGTTACAAGTGCGTTGCCGGCTTTTTGGATATTAGGGTTACAAAGATTTAGGGATTGGGTGCGAAGAAAGATTGGGCGTTTTGTAACCTCGGTGGACAACGCTGGGGTTGTTTTAAGCAAGTTTTTTGTGGGGCCGTGGTACTCCGGTCGAGCCAACCCATTTGTGCCGAAGCATGGCTTTCCCACACTTTAATTTTAGGTCAAACTAAACAAAAACTTGTAACAACATAAAAGCTAGTTAAGTATAGTACCGGAGCTAAAGCATGTTAGAGGTATTGTCCCATATTTAAAGGATTCAACATTAATCATTCATCTTGATTCCACCTTTGCTATCTTACAAAAACTTGATCAAGTAGTGATTAATAAATTCGTGTGTGTATATAATATAGTTCCGGATAAAATGACCTGTTTTTATCACTTCCGTAGAGTTCATTGTTTTAATAAATTACCTTGTATGTGTTTTCGCATCTAACAATATGCTAACTTTTTCAGTAAACTTGTGATTTTAATGGCCAGACCATTAAAATCACAAGTTTACTGAAAAAGTAGTTTTTTTATTATAGTTTTTACTTACTACTTACTTATATATCACAAAGATCCTCGATGTATAAAAAAATAAAAAAAAATGAATAGTTTCGTTTTTTCACTATTTTTATACACTCGCTTAATGTTTATGACCTAATTATGATAAAAAAATGTGCATTATTAAAATAAAGAATCCTCAAGGTTTCGAGGAAGACAGAATAAGAGATCTTAATCATCTGTTATTGTTAAATCTCCATTACAGCATTTGGCTCTCCACTTGGATTTTCTAGTCACAAAAATATTATTACATCATCAGCCTATAAGTGTCTACTGCTGAGCAAAGGCCTCTTCTCACACGGAGAAGGGTTGAGCATTAATCTCCAAACAGACTCAAGGCAGATTGGCGATTTCAAACTTATAATTAGAAATTTAAGTCCAGGTTTCCTCGAGATATTTTCCTTCGCCGTATGTCAGTGGTGTCTATATTATCATAGAAAGTATATGTATTTAACTCGGAAAAAGTCACATTGGTACTTGCCAGGTTTCGAGCCCGCGCCCTCATGCATGACAAGAGGGCGCCTTAACCTCCGGGCCACAACGACTTATAACGTACCTATACATTCCTTACCAGTACATTCCTTACATAGCTCACACAACTCTTCATAATTTTGATGTGATTAAAAAGCTCGTCAGTTAAAGTGAATTATTTTTTATCTTTTGACTCTAATACCCGAGTTCATTAGCCTAGAAGGTTATATTGATTGTACATCATAAATTCAATGTGTTACCTGTTGCAAATAAATAACAACAAAAATTGTATTTAAGTTAGCTCGACCTTTTTAGTATTGATCAATGGTATATTGACCTAAGTCTTCAATAAAAAGATAAGGAGTATATTATTCTAATTGTTTTTATAATATTAGAGTGCTGTTAAATACATTCATTTATTATTAATTGGTGATCAAATGAGACTTCTTTTTTTCTTTGTATAGCCGTTCAGAGTTTTCAAGATCTTTTTTGTGTATACATCCTTTTGTAAATATCTTTTTTAACGTTGCCCCACACTACGGTTTTGTCCTATATCACGGCCGCACCCACCCACCGCACTTACAGACATACATTTTCATATACATATACACATTACACCTAGACCGTGCGATACGTTGCATACAGTTGCCCAGCCACCGCACCAACTGTGCAATCAAGCAATGTTAACTTTATCATTTTGTAAAGTATTGAGCTGTTTGATACAACATACGATAAAGACAAAGTGTATACGATTCAGTTTACCAAATGTAAAAAGTAACGAATGTGACATATTATTAAACGGCAAGAAATTGGAATTTGTAAAACAGACTACTTTTCTGGGTATAACCATAGATGAAAAACTACAATGGGGGCCCCATATCACATCTCTGGCAGGACGGTTGAGTTCTGCAGCATTTGCTGTCTGGAAGATCCGACAGCTAACAGATGTGGACACTGCAAGACTGGTGTACTTCAGCTACTTTCATAGCATTATGTCGTATGGCATCTTGTTGTGGGGACAGGCTGCTGACATTGAGTCTATATTTGTCTTGCAAAAGCGTGCAATCAGAGCAATTTACAACCTAAGGCTTCGCGAATCTCTTAGAGATAAATTTAAAGAGATCAATATTATGACTGTGCCCGGTCAGTTTATTTATGAAAATATAATGTATGTTAGGAAACACTTAATATTATTTGATAAGGTATCAGACAGACATAATTACCAAACTAGACATAGAGATAGATTGTGTCAGCCATTATTTAGATTGGCAAAGGTACACAAGTCGTTCATGGGATTCAGCGTTAAGTGTTATAACAAAATCCCAGGCGAAATACAACAATTAAATGAAAGAAATTTTAAATTATGTGTAAAGAAAACTTTGTGTAAAAAAGCATATTACAAACTGAGTGATTATATTGAGGATAAGGATGCTTGGAGACGGGCTGGTCCTGCTCCACAGGATAATATACCTACACGAATATAAATAATGTTCCAGTGGATCTTTGCTTGAACGGAAGTTCTTAGATTTTGTAAATTTGTAACCATGCTATTTTTATTGTTGAACTTGATAAATTTGTAAATGTGAGTGCCCTGTAACCTATTAAAATTAGTTAGACTAGCAGAATGTCGGTCCATATGTCAGCTTGGAGTTGTCATGCTCACTCAAAGGTCACATTGGCGGTGGCACGGTCACTGGATCGCTCGATTCCCTATATTATGGTTGAGTTGGGCGATGCTGGTGTACGTGTCATGCTCGTGAACGGGCGCCGTCAATTGGGACTGGTCAGCTCCGGACTGTCTATTGTCCTTAAGGTTATTTTCTTTTTATGTTTCTCTGTATACACGCGTTACACTGTTCTCACATATTCAAACTAACTAAATAATGTATCAAAGAATGTTTATGTGACACTGATTTTAAAAGAGTAACCATGGAGTTTCTTGCTCGTTCTTCTCCATCGGAATCTACACTTTGGAACGAGCGAATAGCTTCACTAAGAGGACTGACCGACAGACTGACACTTTGTATCTTTAAAGTTGTGTTGACGTTCAAAAGTGCCTGTATGGGTCTAATTGAAATAAATAAATTTTGACTTTTGACTTTTTTGACATACGACGATTCGACTGTACGACTATTTTATACGCAAGTATCAAAGTATAGATTGACTCATTACCGATATAGAACCAATTAATACACTGTATTATATGCGTTCCTTACCACCGTACCGTACCATACCAAATAACCGTGCATACGCTATCACTCTTTAAAGACCTTGTAATGCATTTTTAGCAACAAATGGGGGATTGCAAAACCCTGTATTTTAGTGTCCACTGATGGGCAAAGACCTCTTCTCACACGGAGAAGGGTTGATAACTAATTTTCATAAGTACCTAATAAGTACTTTTCTTTAGCAAACAACATCGGTTAATCTAAAAGCAAACAAATAATAGCTGCAAACAATGAAACTCATACACTGAATCGTAGCGTGGACAGTCAGATCTTTATACTAAAAACCCCTTTTTTTCCAAAGACCATCACTGATGTCCTAATTAGCGAATTATACGTTAGTAACAATGAAATCGCTGAGAACGTTTGTTTGTTTGACTGTGTGATGTTAACCGAATTCCTTCATATTTTTTTTAGTACCGTTCATCATTTCATATGTTTTATAAGTAGAATACTGATCAGCTTCACTCTCTTAGTAAAAGTAACTCTCACACTAAGCAATCGGCGCCAATCATGGACTCCCGCCCCACCAGAGAAGCCACCTGTGCCTTATCCTTAAGGAGATTGGGTATTCAATGATTAAATTGAAGGCTTGATTGGGATTCCGGTTGCTGGTTCATTACATTAAGCGTATTTTCTGTTTCCAGTTTTTGCATGACATTTCTAATTGTGTGTAGTTGAGGATTTACCTTCAATTATTTTCTATTGATTCAAGACTTAAATTTAATGCTAACACATTACTCATACAATATTTTCGTACCCACGTAACTAGAGAAAACAAAAGGGAAACAACATATACAAAGATTATACGAGTATTTATACCGTTTTTTTTCTATATTAAGAAGCTAAGACAAACCCAGGGCAAGTCAGTAGTACTACAGAAACGTAAATTTTTCTTAAGATTGACTGCAAGTTCACAAAGGTACTCTTGGCAATAAGTTCTAGAAAAGATAACCTTGTATTATTTTTTATTTATTTTGTACAAAATGTTTGTGTTTATTTTGTGGGCTTTAGGTATATATGGTAAAATCTGTGGGACCAGCATTATCTCTTGCAGTGTAACGAAGTACCTCAAGATTGAACCATGGATCTTAATAAATCTCTGTTTTTAGTGTTCACGGCTTTTGTGTTGTGTGAATCGGGATTTGGTAAGTAAAGTAGTTTAATAATAATTATTTTTAATTAATATATTTATTATAAAGGTCTTAAATTTGTATTTTCTTATAGGTGTATTCAAGGGTGTTCTTCAAGTTCACCCATTCGTTGTCAAATAGGTTTCATTATTGTTTCATGGCTACAATTCATTAGGAATTTCTTAAACACTGTCATAACTTGTTTATTTTGTAGATGAATATTATGACATAAACGGATTACCTGATGGTAAGCAATCAGCCCATGACACCCGCAACGACGCAGGGCTTACGAGTGCTTTGCCGACCTTTTGGGGATTAGGGATTTGGAGATTTTGGGACCATTCCCAAAATAAATCCCCCAAAGGTGGGGGGATTGGGGTAGGGGAAGGATTGGGATTCCGGTTACCTCACTCACACGGCGAAACACAACGCTGTGGTTATTTCACGCCGGTTTTCTGTGAGGCCGTGGTATCTCTCCGGTTGAGATGACCCATTGTGTCGAAGCATGGTTCTCCCACACCTAAATCCTATAATTATAATCCTTCTCAGTTTTTATGTTTCTTTTGTTAATGATGAATTCTCCTTTTCAGTGGAACAATTGCCAAAATGTAAACTAAATGACGACAATTGTAAAAAAGGCCTTATTCAAACGGTATTAAAGATTCTTGCCAAAACTGGACTACCCGAAAAGGGAATACCTAAACTCGACCCTCTGTCGGTTAGCAATGAATCTTTTAAGATCGCCGATGTCATTGATCTGACTTTAGTCGATGGTGTAGTTAAAGGGATTAAGGATTGCACTGTTAACAGGTTTACGTAAGTAAATATTTTTATTGAAAACGCATTTCTCTACGTATATATAATGTTAATGAGCATAACTTCTGCATTACCTTATTTGTGCTATTTACCTTAATAATGGCATCTAAATAAAGAGCAATTAGTTAGACTGATGTGGTTAAAAGAATGCGATTGGAGGTAAAACAAACCAACAAAACACACACTATACACATGCACATACACGTATACACAATCTACTATCAAAATTCATATGTATTGTATTGAATCAAGTAACTACATACTTACATGAATAAGCATGCTTTAATTTATTTTTTCTAGTGCCAGCATTGAAGATGAGCGAGCTACCATAGAGTTGACATGTGACGTCACAATCAAAGGACGTTACAAAGTATTTTCAGACAGTCCTCTTGTTAAAACCTTCTCTGGCGGTGATACTGTTAAAGGCGAAGGAAATGGCAAAGTTAAAATTGGTAAATAATTGCTTTTTCTTATTCGTTGCCTCGATCCAGGATTTTCTCCTGTGTCAAGGGTGCAAATGACCTACACCCGAAACAACAATTTGTGGATCACACCAAAGTGTTGCTACGTGTGGCAATCGTACCTGCTTTACGTTACACAGCAGTCAGTTGGCCGGCCACTACGCCAATCGCGAAGTCAAAATAAATTATTTTTGTAACATTTTTACTATTTAGCAGTCTATGAAATTTTCCAAAAACTTTGTCAAATAGTCTTGACCTTCGAAGTAAAAGAGCTCTTAGTCCAAAAGTGGGTATGATGACATGAAATAATAAATTAGAGTACAATAAGTGTACTTAAACACTTACAAAAAAACAAAAATTCGTAGATGTTGTTTGTTGAATTGATGTTGGTGTTGAAATAAAAATAAATAATCATAAGGTTTCATTGATAAACCATATAAATTATTATGAACTGCAACCCATAGTAATGATTGTGTTGAATTGAATTGACAACAATGACAAGGACCAATGCATAAAGCTGGCGGTTGACTTGGGAAGGAATAAAGTGGTAATACAAGGAGAAGAAGTCTATTCTATTCAAACCTATTAATTATTGCAATAAATATACGAAGTGTTAGCGTTATAAAATGTTTTTTATGGTTTTTTTTGTGAGGGAAAAATCATCAAATGACTTCTCCCGCCCAGGGCCGGGCGGGAGGGAGTGTCAGACTCTTACTGACTAAAAACCCCCCCTGTTCCTTCTCCTGCTCTGGGCCGAGGTCGCGGTGCCTCATTGCTCTTACCCCGCGACCTCGGCTGAACATCAGCCCTATAGGGCTCCGTCTGTGGTAGTCTATTGGCTCTTTGAGGCGCGCGCGGAACGCTACGTGCCGTACGCTCGGGCCTGTTTCTGGTCGGGCGGCGAGCTGCCCTTACTCGCCGACCGCAGACCCGTGCTTACGGTGGCCGGAGGGACGGCAAACGAGTCGACGCGGTACCTGATGGTAAGCGATCGGAGCCGCCCATAGACAAGCGTAACACCGTTACGCATGCTTTACTGGCCTTCTGGATATTTAGGGATTTTGAAGGGTTTGGGAGAGCGAAAGAAGGAGATGGCCACCGGTAACCCCACCCCACTCACACGACAAAACACAACGTTGTGGTTGTTTCAAGGTTCCGGTTTTCTGTATGGCCGTGGTCTCACATCGGTCGATTCGACCCATATGTGCCGCAGCAAGGCTCTCTCACACTTAAAGATGTAATAAGAATTTTTATTTTTTCTAAAATAAGTAAAGTATTAATTTTTTCCAGAAAAAATGTTCCTAAGTTTTGACTTCGATTACTTCTTCCAAGACCGAGACGGTGAGATCTACGTCAAATGCAAAAATGATAAATTGAAGTACCAATATGACATCAAAGGCAAAATGTTATTCTTTGCTGACAATTTGTTCGTAGGAGGCAAAGAGTCCAGTAAGTACCTACATTTTACTAATCCAAATGAACATTATAAATGTGAAAGTAGCTCTGTCTCTCCGTCTGTCTGTCTGCTTGTTTGTCTGTTTGTCTGTCTTTCTTTTCTTCACGCCTAAACTACTGAACCGATTTCTGTGAAATTTGGTACAAACATAGTTTTGAACTTGAGAAAGGACAGGAGAGTTTTTATATCACAAATCGAAGCCACTATTCCACTCGAACTGAGGCGCAGGTAGTTGCAAATAAAACTGTTTTATAGGCTGATTTACACGATACCATTTTCTTGAACAAACAAGAGCCATTATTAAATTCAATAAATTTAAGGCTCGTTTACATTATACCATACGCAATGTTTAGACCATGCAAGTCAATAATTGATTTCATTAATTGTAATAAACAACGTGCAAATTAAACAAACTAGCCAAGTTAAACAAAATATAAAAAGTAACATCGAAATATATATCTCTATTTTTTCCTATCCCTTTATATATATCCTCCTCTATTTTTTTAACATATTTTTTTATTTGTCATCTATTTCTATGTACATAATACGAGTATTTCTACTGGATTCTTCACTATTCTGCCAATTGTAATTTTAAAAACTCGTAAATATTTTATTTTGTTTTAAATAATCTTAATAATAATCTTGAATGGATTCAATCATGTTCATCTAAGAAATAATTGCAACTTAGTAGTTTCTGTCGAGTTTATAATAAAATAATGATGCCATTAAAGATTTATAATGGATTGGCTAGATAACTCAAAAGGTTATGAAGTTCAGTTATAATTGACGATATTACTAACTATGAAGAGGCTAGTCAGTAAGGTTTTACGTAATTTATTTTATCGAGTGCATGGCCGGTGGTTCAAGGACCTACTTTTAGTCCTTTTGTAAAATATTTTACTGTAGGCCTTTAATGTGGTTGCGATGTCGTTTTAATATGTTTGAATAATATTTTGTATTGGGATAGGTTGCAAGCGGGCAGAGAAGATACCCTGATGGTAAGCAATCATTCATAACCATGAAGACGAGTAGCATTAAAAATTAAGATTAATTAAATTTATTGAAATAAAATGGTTATAATAATTAAAGGAGATACAAGTATTTGTTTAGAGTTATGAGACAGTTGAAGATTGGAGATTTAGGTTTTGAAGTAGGTTGAGAAAAAATTATGTATCAGATAACCTACATAACAAAACACAACCCAGAAGAAGACGTATTTTTAATGTGATTCATCGGCAAACGAGCACACGCATTATCTGATAAGCAATCAATGCTGTCCATGGACACCCGCAACAACAGAGCAGTTACAAGTGCGTGGCCGACCTTTTGGGGACGGGGATTTGGAGATTTAGAGATTGGGGAGAGAAAGGATTGGGCCTCCGGTAACTTCACGTATACATTTGTAATATGAAGGGCGTGAAATGTATACGAACGCATACATTTCACGCCCCGGTAGTCTATGAGCCTCTGGTATTACAAACTCAAAATGGCAACACTTAAAATGGACTGTAGGTTTTCTCTACGAAAGTGGGACTTACTTATAATCTTTTGCTTAGCAAGAGGTTGCAAATCTCAGTTTAAAAGAATCAAGCTCATGAAGACGTTGCTATCATGTCTTTAAAAATATGTAATCCGTTTGAAAGAAAAGTGGGTTTAAATGTAAGGGTATTTCTACTTGGCCTACACCATACGGCTGATAGCAATATTATTCTATACAATTTTTTTTTATCTGGTAGTAGGCAATCAGCACCGCCAATAGACACTCACACGGCGAAATACAACGCATTGGTTGTTTCACGCCCGTTTTCTGTGAAGTCGTGGTATCACTCCGGTCGAACCGACACATTCGCGCCGAAGCGTGGCTCTCCCACAACATTATATTCTCTCTCTCTCTCTTTCAGGTAAGGTCGTGATGGATGCGATGAATCAAAATTGGAAGTTTCTGATGTCCTCATTTGGAAAACCATTCATGGACCATGCTATGGATTTTGTTATAAAATCAATTCACACATTTTTCGATTCAGTACCTGCGAAATATATGTTTGCTGATGATCTAACTGAACACGCGAGAAAATCTGATTAATTATTGTTTGTTATTATTAAATAAAAAATATTTTAAAACACATTTATACCTCCATAGTTTTTTCTGAAATAATTCGTAACCGTTTTTGTTTCACTGTTTATTAAGTATGGCTGGTTTAGTTTTTTTTATTAAAACTTTTTTTATTTTTAATCATTGTTCTTTTATTTATGCATTGTATAACATTTTTTTTTTTTTGTAAGGAGAAAACCATCAAATGACTTCGCGGTGCTTCATTTCGTTTACTCCGCAACCCCGGCTGTGAGCATCAGCCTTATAGGGCCCCGTCTGTGGTGGTCGAGCGCGCGGATCGCTACGCGCCGTACGCTCGGGTCTGGTTCTGGTCGGGCGGCGAGTTGCCCTTAGTCGCCGTCCGCAGACCTATTTTTATGGGATAGGTTGGCAAACTGATGGTGAGCAATGCCTATTTACATCTGCAACAACAAGTTAAAAGTGATATTTTGTACGTTGAAATTTGGGTCTTCGGTAACCTTCCTCCCGCAAGCTTTGTTTCACAACGATGTCTTGTGAGGTCGTGGTATTACTCTGGCTAGGTAGGCCTCAAAAAGCTCGACTCTTTCATTACTAATGAATGTACTTTATTTGTACATTCACTAGTAATTTTATATGTAAGTATCTTTCTTTACTTTCTGATCACAGAATTAATAATACTTACATAAGATTTTTATCGACAACACAGGTAAAGCTACGAATGATAGAACACTTATTTATAAAGACAACAACATTTTAATTAATTTTAATTAGCTTCTAATACAAGAAAACCAGCAAACCACTTCCTCACACCTACCTGATATATTAATATTCAACACTGTTCACGCATCGTGATTCCAACGTCTTGTGGCAAACGAACCTTAATATGGTTAGTATAATAGAGAGAATTTGAATAAACTAAACTAACCTACATCTTATGTGTATGTATATTGTATACTATAATTCTATCTGTTCCCTGTGAGATTAGTTAGTACTATGCATAGTGCTAATGTTGTTAGAGTTTACAATACAACATTGATTACGGTAATACTACAAAACATATCTAATTGGCAGATACGTAGATTCTAATAAGGCTGAGCCAAATGTATGTCAGCTAATGTTGAATGCATTGAGTGAAATAATACGTTCTGATGTTAAGGTTTTTGCGACTTCATTGAAGGGTGATTGTTATGAAATATTTAGTTTTTACTATGCTCTTAGTGAGTGGAAAAAAAAAACATTATTTTATCTTTGATGATTTGTTTGTCAATTAATAAATATTTTAATTTCATTTAGTATGTAGTTTATTTGTTTTTATTATTATATAAAATGGTTCCAATTAACATTTAGAAAATAAAAAGGAACTTGATTTATATGCTATTAAAATGTTGATACATCTGAACTGGGGTATCACTGAATCGTGTGAGCGATAAGCGGGTACTCGGACGTGCTCGTGCACGAAGAATACAATGACATATTCGAATATGCAGACGCCTTGCTCGAGTATGGTCGAGCGTCACAGTGGGGTTGGTATTAGTTAGTTAGTTCATCTTCAGGCTGCTTTTAATTAAAAAAAAAATATCTGCTCCTGCTATGCTCTTGGTATGCGCTGACTATTGCGCTGCGCATCGTGCATTCTTGGTACAGCTTCGTACCCGCAAGCCGCATGTTCGCATGTTCCGCTGTTCTCATCCAACCACTGCCAGCCACCCTGCGGATATCGTCAGTTCAATTAGCTGGAAGGCGCCCTACATACCCTACTACATGTTTTATACAATTTAATAAAAAAACAATTAAGCATCTTATAAATATTAATATTCATAAGAATATCATCTTCAAAGCCAGAAGTAGCTTAAAAAAATGCAAATTGTACATAATTGAATTAAAAATTAGGCATTATATATTATTTAGGTATAACGTAATTTTTATATTTAATTTAATTATTGCATATTTTTTGTATTTGTTTTTTTTTTAGATGCTGAGTTCTTTTTTTTGCATACGGCAAGCGACTTAAGGCTTGCCAAGAGGAAGACATGTAGTTGGTTTTAAGATATGATGTTTTCAAAGTTTAATCGTTAATCTTCAAAAATCTCACTCTCAAAATGACAAGGATATAGAAAGGAAGGAAGATTTTTTTTTTTGTGTGGGAAGGAGGATCCCAGGATGGGAAGCATTAAACCTTTTATTTTACTTTTATTTTTTATTTTTAAGAGTCTGAAACAAGAGCTCTAGGGGTAGAGAGAGGTGTGAATTATTTCATAATTTTACTAAATAAAAAACAAATTATTTATTTTTACTATCCCTTTAAGGAGAAATCAGTGACGTAAACACGTACAGCAGATTAGGGAAAGCATTGGTATCTACATTTGTAGATGTAAAATAATGTAGTGAATCAAAGCTACGCTAAGGCGGTACGAAGTTCGTTGGGTCAGGTTGTATTAATATAATTTATATAATATAGTTAACAAGATAATGAGATGGCTTTAAGATTCAGAAGGGGTAGACAAAGGTGCACTTTATGAAACAAAATGCATGTAATGTGTATTCTCTGTTGGAGATCCTAATAAAATAAATAATAATGCACACAATGTGGTGTATGAAGGCATCGGGGGGTTGGTACAAACCTACTTCAAATTTCAATTTTAATAATCGACGCGCTGTCATTACTCAGTACAAGTACATACACATTACAGTGCATTATTATTTATTTATTGAGCAACAACAATGACCAAATAATAAATGACTTACACTATTATTTAAAGTTCCTCTATTTACATCTACGACTTTGCGTTTGGAGCGGTGGTTGGACAACTCATTGTCGAGCAACATGGGACGCGTTCGATTCCCTATGTGACTTACAGATTACTGTTCCGATAAATTTGATGTATGTATGTACGTATAATCTTAGTGTGGGACCAGGTTACAAAAATCATCTTCGCAAAGCTTTGATATGATTTTATATTTTTAGAAACAAGGGCCCTGTACTTTTATCACGCGTGCGTAGGCATATTTTTCACCACAATGACATTTATTTTCAGCGCATTGTTCCCCACAAACGTCATTCACACTGAGGTCACGTTAAAACGTATGGTGAGCTTGTCTGTCCATCTGCGTTGCTAGCGTGTCCTTCGCATGTTGTTTCACATCCAAAATTCTGACGACCCGTTTGTAGAAACTTCTATCTAAAAGAACAACAAACAACCTATTTTACATTTTCAGCTGTTTTCAAATATATTCACTTTTAAAACTTTCGCGTTTCATGCTTACAACATATAATAACGCCGGTATTAACGCGAAAAATTATTACGACTCAAGGCAGAGTCTGCGACCACGACCTGTGCAATCAGGTCAAAACGTCAAACCTACCAAGGTATTTGAATAATTATTTTTCGCGTTAATACCCGCGTAATTATATGTTCTCAAATACTTTCCTTTTTTATCTCGTGATAATTATGCAAACAAAATTATTATACAGTTCCATCCGCAGATCAGCTTCTATTAGCCGTCATAGTCATAGTGTCATATTTTAAAACATATATAATATATGGCCTTCAGGGACATATTGACTACCGCAGTTTTAAAGACAATCTAATTCTACAGCGTTATAATATTAATATGTATACAGAGATTGCTGCTATGTTATTCATCTTTTTTAAAATAAGAACCCACTGATTTCGTCCACTAGGGCACATGTTGTCGCAGGTGCAAGAATGATGTATCACGTTCCGACCGCAGGAAAAGGAACGGGATTTTTTTAGTCAGTAAGAGTCTTAACAGTCTCCTCTCATCCCACCCTGAGCAAGAGAAAATGATTTTCCCCTCTTAAAAAAACAATACCTGCTTTTCCCTTTGTTTGTTTACTACACTATACTATATGTTACTATACTATACTATAGCTGGTGCTCATTTCAACATGTAAAAATGAAACCTTATTTTATATACAGGCCCATACAATTTGTTCATCATATAATATCAAACAGAAATTCTTGTTTAATCACATCACATAATTGAATTGACCTCAGTTGAATGCCAATAAACCGGCATAGTGATTAGTATGAAGTTACAGTACAACTAGTAATTATTTTACGGCCATCAGAAATGTTAAGTACGTTCACGTCGCAGGGGATAACTCAGAAAATTGCGTGGCAACAAATTAAGGATATTAGTTGAGGTTTTATTGTATGTAGAATGTTATAGGCGCAACAAAACTTTTCTTACGTATTTCGAACCGATGTGACCTTCAAACTTACAATAGTAGTAAAATCGTGCATACTCCTTTTTTAAAGGCCGGCAACGCGCCTGTGGCTCCTCTGGTTTTGCAGGTATGAACGGAGGTGATCACTTACCATAAGGTGATCCTTCTGCTCATTTACCTCTCATTCCACAACAATTAGACCTTTATAAATGTTTTAACACTTTTTTATCAACTGACGGTAATTGATCGTTGATCAGAATATGCCACGAACCTCAATTCACAACACAAAAGAAATGGAGATAAATAGAGATTAGAATACACTGACCGCTGAAAAAGGTTTTTTATGTGATGATCACTTGATACAGATGATACGGATTACTTGATGGTAAGCAATCAGCACCATACCGGGACACCCGCAACACTAGAGGAGTTATGAGTGAGTTTCCGGCCTTCTGGAGATGAGGGTTTCGGAGATTTAGGGATCAAGGAGGGATGAGGGGAGGCAAAGTATTCGGCCTCCGGTAACCTCACTCACACGATGAAACACAATGCTGTGGTTGTTTCACGTCGGTTTTCAATTAAACCGGAGTGATACCACTCACTCCGGTCGAGCCGATCCATTCGTGCCTAGCTTGACATTTCCACGTTTTAAAGTTGTCTTCTGTTTCTATTGAAGATTTTCAATTCAATCGGCTTTACTCTACTGGCACCTCATCCTCATAAAATATCATTTTAATCCGTAAATCCAACATGTTTTGTAAACTAGAGTGGCTTTCTTTCTTGTTTAACAAGAAAAAATTACATTAGCGCCATATTATACGACATTCAACCCAAAACGCAAAACAATAGAGTCCCTTTTCACCCATACAAGAAAACAGATATATTCATTATTCAAATTGAATTCTGCACACCAGGAAACAAGGTTGAATTTTATGCGAACATTATTCATATGTCAAAGATGCATCTTGTTATGCTTATGTGAGTGATTTTATTTACATTTCCCACAGTGATATATTGTCGCAAACATTTTTCATTTACGACGATTTTTTGTACGTCATGTCGAGTGATCCTCTTAGCTTTAAGCATGGGGTTTTTTCCCTAAAGCACTATTGTTAAAAACATACGTAATTAATTATAGGATGAGATAAAAACAAAAAAATATTAAAACGATTCACAGTTGGAGGACTTTTAAATGAAGATTTTATTGTCTGTTATAAGCACTTAGGAATCGAAATCCATTTTCAAATTTTAAATTCCGATCAAGTAACTACACTTTTACAATTACAGTTGACGCATTTAACATACAAAGTATACTTTAATATTACCCTAGAATATACTATTAAACAAAGTAAAAATGTTATTTACGTCATACTATTGCAGAATATTACGCAAATAACTTAACAATCTGACATAACGTCTAACACGAATAAAATAAAGTACAATTTCCAATAGACATTTTCTTAATATACAATTTCAATTAAATTATGAAACATTAAAATACACAATACTAGATAGCACATTTTACATTGCTTCATCCTCACCGAACAGCACTTTAAAAATCAGTACAAAACAAGAAATGGAATAGAGACAAAATGGAAAACTCATTCTAAAGAGATTGTTTAGAATGTTGCTAAGTAAACATCCACGTGAACAAGGCTTCACGTGTCGGCTGAAAATGAAGGGTTGTGTGTTTACGTTACCTAATGAAGTGGCTGAAACATGTAATTTTTACATTATAAGTTTATAAAACGAAGAACAAGGTATCGTAGGCCAGTTACATACATTTGCTTAGAGTCTCTTAGTTGGTTATAAGAATGTTATTTCTAATTTTGTTTAAGACTTTTTTTGTTAGTGCCTTTTCTATGGGATTACGTAAGTAATTATTTTATTGTTGACTCTAAAATGATACATTTTATCTTACAGTGGATTTCGGGTTTTTAAATGCACATTTATGTCTGTTAATGTCTTTTTCCAAAAATAATTACGAGTAAACATAGACAGCTTAACAGGTTTTGTTCTGAAAATGGACAGAGAATTGAAATACATAAATATATTTTTGAACATATTAATGATTCTTTTGCCTCTTTGGAATATATTTTTTATAAAAAACCTTTTAATGTGTAGTTGTCTTATACCCATTCTTAATATACGTCAACCTTGGGACTGAGTTTTGTCGAGGCCATGGTTCGAAGCGAGAAAAATTAAGGAGCCGTCTTCTCTTTCTGCGAAGCAGTGATGCTCGCAAAGAAAGAGGAGGAGAGCGTGAAGGAAATATTCTCCTCACGCCCCAGCCGTCGTAGTAGGAAACACTTGGTGCATTTTGGGATCGCATGACCATCCACCACCGATCAGCGGACGGCGAGCAAGGGAAATTAGCCGCTCGACCCGAATCAGACCCTCAAGGATCCCATATATGAGGCCCAACAGGACCGATGTTCAGCCGAGGTTGCGGAACAAACGCAATAAGATATCGTGACCTCGGCCTGCAGCAGGATAAGGGTCTGGCCTGGGTATTTATTCAGTGAGCATGACTCTCAATCTCGCTTCAAAAAAAGACATTTGATGATTTTAACACCACAAAAACGAAAATTTAATATCGGCATATACCAGAATTATATAATTTATCGTGCATCTTCTTATTTCAGCTTCCTACATATCTTCATGCTCAAGAAATGACCCAAACCTGAACGATTGTGCGTTGAAGTCGGCTCGAGATTCTTTGCACCAGTTTTCCCAAGGAGACTCTGAGAGAGGACTCCGACCCTTAGACCCGTTGTACGTGGCGGAGATGACGGTGTACATACCAAATAAACAAGGTTTTAAAGTCACCTTCAAGGACAATTACTTCACAGGACTTTCGAAACTACATTTGGAAAATTTGAAGTAAGTTTTCATTTTTGTTATTTATTTATTTTCCCGAAAGAATCATCTACAACAAAAGTTTCCTATTAGAAAACGTAGAGGTAAATTAGATATGAAATAATTACTTGTGCGCAGTGAAGGGTATCGAAGCTTTTGCTTTTGCTTTTGAAAGTAGAACGATCATGGCTAAATATACTCGTTATAACAATAATTAAATAATATATATTTAAATATTTTTCTTAAAAAATATTTCAAGATATAAAAATCAAGTTAAAAAATAAAATAGATTATAAAATACTTATGAAACCTACTTTGAATTTACTCGCTAGTATAAAAAAAAACTGCGATCTTTTATGATGTCTGCAAGTTCAAAATAGTATTTCTTATATTAAACCAAAATATCAGAACAATTTTTAAACATAATACCAACAACGTAATAAAATATACTACAACATAATAACAATTAATTATTTCAAGAAATTTTGAGTAAGTATAATTAATTTCAGACGACTAGTAAAGTAATCTATACTATAAATATAATTAATTATTAGGTTATGACCGTTTGTGCAAATACCAGCCAACAAATTAACGGCCTATTAAAATGTTCTGCACCGAAATAATTAAGCATTAAATTCAATTTAACATCAATTTCGTTGAAATTCTGTAAACTTGATGAACTGTTATGGTATTTAATCAATCACTATTATTATCATTTTCATTCACTAAGAGAGGAGAAAAAGTACACAGTACACGTGCATTATGCACTAATGAGAGATCGAAACCAAGTACTAATGCGACTTTTGTCGAGTTATATGTACGCGTGGAATAGTGACTTCCTGAAGATTTTTGGTATAAAAACTATCCTATGTCCTTTCTCGAGTTCCAAACTATGTAAGACCAAATTTCACAGAAATCTATTCAGTAGTTTAGGCGTGAAGAAAGGACAGACAGACAGAGTTACTTTCGCATTTATAATATTAGTTTAAGTTCTTTGTGTAATATTATTTAGATACCACTAACATACGGTGATAAAAAACATAGTGATTCTTGGTGAGGAATCTTCAAAATCGCCCATCCAACTTGAGCAAGAATGGTGATAACCTTCTTCGTGTGAGGTGAAGCATTGGCTCAGCAGTAGGCTATTTTAAGTTGATGGTGTGATTATTCGTTAAATGAGTGTTTATTAAGGATAATAATTTAATTATTATATTTAACGACTTCCTTACCTATCTGTTTGATATCATATCTGGAGTGAAACGCAGAGACCGCGGTATGCAACAGAGTTTTTTTTGGTTATTAATCACCATGCTTTAGAGGTAGGTCTTCCAGGTTTCTTCAAAGTTTGTCAATAGATTCTCCTCCTATAACACGTATCTTACACAATACGTGTCTTGAATATTAAAAAAAAACAAAGATAAACAGGTAAATACATTTTTAACATACCCAAAATCCACCAAAGAAAAAATAAGCGAGAAAAAAACAAAAAGGCTAAAGTAACACGGTAGTGTTTAAAGAAAAAAACGGCAATAATACTCGTTGTATTATATAATATTCGGATTTGCGACAAATACTACAAACAAAATATTTATCATGACATTTTTGTGACAAATGTTTCCTGATATGAAAAGCCTACGAGGTAATTGACCGGATAAGTATCTGAGAAATGGTTTTGAATATCTCCATATATCAAAGTGATATGCGGAAGATGAAATCCCTCATTTCACAACTTACATTAGCTGCTTGAATATCACAATAGTGGGACAAGTTGTAAACTAGGTTGAAATGATATCCTTAAATTACATAACTAGCGACCTGGCTTCGCAAGAGTGCAATACTGATACTAAATTTCTCCACTACTTAATAGTCTATTCAGACTTATTTTAACTGAATCCTACATAGAATAGATCTGGATGGAGCGAGATGAAGTGTCAGACCAGACTAACCTGGCTTCTGCCTGGCCTGGCTCTATGAGGGGGAGTGTCAGACCTATATACTGAATGAAAACCTCCCCGTTCCTTCTCCTGCTCTACTGTCTGGGGTCGCGGTACATAGTGCTCTTGCATTCGCAACCTCGGCGGAATATAAGCCTTGACACTTCACAAGCATATCCATACTGATCTATTGGCTCTTTGAGATAGCGTGTAGGATAAACGTGTTCTTTTTTAAATCATATGAGGCATGATGGCTTCGTTAATGCTTAGGCCACAATTTTTTCTTTCATCACCACCCCATCTTTGGTCAAAGTCATACATCATTCACAGTTCTGACCGTAGATTTCGCCGAATAACAATAAAATTAAAAAAATAAAGGGTTATATTTTTTTCTGCGTCTGTTAACAACGTTTACAAACGCAGAGTAGTTTTGTTTTGTTAAAATACAAGTTATGATAAAATAAATAAAATACATTAATTGTAATTGAATATTTCACTATATCACTTTAAAATTTAATTTACTAAGAATTTCGATTCGCCATTTATTTTGTGTATTACAAAAATAGAATGGAAATATTAATTAACTGATTTATAAATGAGAGCGCAAAATTCACTTTTGTTTGCTTAAGGTAGGTACTTAAATACTCTTTGTTTTGATTTCAACTAAATACGAAATGAATGATAGTTGAAATTATGAATGTTTTTTTAACATAGCAATGTTATTATAAGAAACATTAAATATAATATTGACATATGATTTTCATATGCAACAGAATACGCAGTGGCTTTAACAACTGATGTTTACTTTGTAAAAATAAAAATAAACAATTGCAATAATTTAAAAACCAAATTATTAAAGGCATAATTATTAGCAAATATGACATTTTCCTCAAATTACTTAGAGGCTTTCCGCGAACAAAAGTCGACATTAACAAATTCAATTATGTCAGCTTAATTTTTTAATTCTTTAATTGTTTTATCTTGCCTCTGTCCTAGTCTACAATTAAAATTCAGTTAGAAGGGATATTTTCCCGTAAGAAGGAATCAAAATCTTTGTGTTTGAAGTTGATTATAGAATTTAAATGATTTCATGAACCTTTTGCAAAATTTTAGAAATGAAACACTGCGGTTTTTTTGTTTGCTTACTTGTTTTACATACATTCACCACTATGCAGATATCACTTATTATAATAAAATCAAATTATTCCAATTACTTAACAAACCAAAATAAAAATATTCTGTGAACAGTACCGGCCGTAAATCCATAATGAACTATGTGCCTTACAAATGACGTCATGACTCGCGGACAATTAGCTTCGCGCCTATTAATTACGAATAATATTATGAAGGCGCCTTAACTTAAAGGGTCCGATGAAATAATTAGGCTCAGACGATGATTCATCGGGAACAAAAGGAGTAATGGTGTGAAAAACCGCGCAATGATCGAGCAAAATTTGATTCAAACTTTCTAGCCGGGTTCGTTAAATGGATGCAAATACATTTTTGCATATTCATTACATCTGAGCTTTGTTCTCTAAGTTTTCTTGTTCGGACTTAAGAACTTGGATTAAAAATGCGTGAACGTCCCTAATAGTGATTTCGCAATGAGTATTTTCGAATGAATAAATGGTCAGAGTATCAATATAGTTTAATGTTCGCTATTGTTTCAATTTTATGAATTTTATCTTTGAAGATTGATTTTATGAATATAGTATGATCCACAAACTGTTGTTTCAGGTCTGGGTTTGATGTGTATATTAGTAAACGAACCCACGATACACAAAAAAATCCGTTTAAAAAAACAATTAAAAACGAATAAAAACTACGATGAAATTATTTCGATTACTTGGTTCATATCTTCATCAGCCAAAGGTCTGATGGCTTTACGATCAGAAAATGATTCATCGTATCTATGTACCTATATTAAGCTCGGCGCATCTTATTAAAACGATAGGATTCTATCTTTAATAAAATTTCGACATACCCAGACAATTTTTATTAATCTTCTGTGAAATAAAACAAAATCGTAACTTTATTGTTATTTTATATTCAATACTTTGAAAAAGGTTTATTTACTTAATAGCATTTGTTTTTATTTATTGTGTATGTAAATAATATTACATTTATTAAATTAATATTATACTTCAATCACACATTATGTTTTTATTTCAGATTTGATTTAGAAAAGAAAATGATAATTGCGGACGCTCTGGTCACCTTGGATGTGAAGAACACTTATGATTTAAGCGGGCGAGTACTTCTAATACCTGTGAAATCAAATGGTGACTCCGCTATACATTTAAGTAAGTGCTATATGATTATATTTCTTTAGTAATAATTGACAAACTTAGAAGAATACCTTACGGAGATATTTAAAACGGTACTTAATCAAATCATAACTGTATATATAAAATCAATGCCAATTTTTGTTGCAATGTTATAACTCAACAATGCCTTTACCAATTTGGTTTATTTTGGTCTTGAATTATTCGAAAATCGGCATCCACGCGTGCGGAGCCGCGGGCGACAGCTAGTATAGGTATATTTATATATATACAAATAACAGATAGATTATATTAAAGTCTTCATGATTTATCGGTGGCTAGTGATAATAGAAATCAGAGTTTTGTTACAAATCCCTGAAAAACTTAAAACCTAGAAATAGAACGACACTCCTTGCTAGACACTTACACTTGTGAGCACTCAACCAAGTCTCGAGTCAATATAATAACTTAACTAACCTTAATACAATTTATTTTTATTTTTTCAGAAAACACTCTTCTACATATTCGTTTCTGGTACGAGCATGTAGAAGGAGCTGATGGTAAAATTTACTGGAAAATATACAAACACGATATTAAATATGAAGTGGAAAGAGCTTCATTTAGACTGGAAAATCTCTTGAACGATCCTACTTTAGGTAAGTGAATATAACAAGATATCGCATATTTTAAAAATCCACACCTTAACACTTTTAAGAGATAACGGCAGAGTAAAAGAAAATTTATTTTGTCAGTTGTATAGAAAAAAACACAATTATGTTTTTTTTTTGTTTTGTAGTAGAAAAAATACTTAGGTATATAGAAAGAATTTGAGTTAAGGAATAGGAGCGTAGTAAATTAATTTATTTTTATTTTATTTATTTATTTAAGTCAAGCATCTGAGGCCCATAGAGAATACAATACATATATTATAACATTAAATCATAAACTAATACATATGTTACATAGATAACTTAAAAACGAATGCACACGAAGTTAATATAATAAAATTTAGCATAGGCATTGTAACTGTGCGAAGCCGTGGCGGGTCGCCAGTTTTTAATAATTCAAAATAAATAATCTCTTGGCTTGTATGTCAACTTTAAAGTTACTTTGCCAAGTTGACATTTTATATTCAAAAGATAATATAGTAAATTAAAACCGTAATAGCTTTTGGACGAAACAAATTACTTGTAAAATGCTTGAGTAAACTCTATTAAAATGTAATACACTGTTTGTACAACCACTGTGGCTTTAAACTGTGTTTGTGAACGAAATATTTAGTTTAACCGATCACATTAAGTGTGGGAGAGCCATGCCTCATCACGGTCAGCTCGCCGGCGTGGTAACATGACCTCATAGAAAATAGTTGTGAATCAACCATACCATTGTGTTTTGCCGTGAGAGTGAAGTTACTGGACGTCCAAACCAGGGAAGACTTTCCAATCTCAAATCCAAAAGGTCTTTCAATGCCTAAATCTCTGAAACCTTAAGTCCCAAAAGACCTGTAACGCACTTGTAGCTCCTTGATGTTGGGAGTGTCCATGGGTGTCTGTTGTATGTCGCCTTTTCACATAAAAAATCCAGTATTGCGAAATCCCACTTTTAGTCAATAGAATAACAAAACAACTATAAAAAAATAGTAAAGGTTTGCTAGGTATTCTGAGGCTTACCTACATAAAAACTGGCAGAATTTTTTGATGGATCGCCACGGAAGCGTTTCACCAAACGATAACAATAAAATATAACAATTTACGGCGAAAAAGTTTAGCAAACGGTTGTACGGATTACATGTTTTGCTGTTTGTGGAATTTAGACGATTGACTATATTTCAAATCAATGGGAATGGTGGGAATAAACTTGATATATATCATATCGAATGTTATTTTTAGAAACGAGGTCGGCCTTTTTCTCTTACTAGTGAATTTGTCATTTGTGTTATAGGACATTGTCTGTGTTAATCTGTATAGACATTATGTTTCTGAATCCAAATCCAAACTAACATTATAAATGCGAAAGTAACTTTGTCTGTCTGTCGGTCTGTCTGTCTGTCTTTTCTTCAAGCCTAAACCACTGAACCTTTTTATAGTTAGAATAGTTTTTTTTACCAAAAATTTGCAGGAACTCACTTATTTCACGCGAACAAAGTCGCAGGCAAAGCTAGTTACAACTAAAGGACATCATGTAAATATTTGTAAAGTCTAAAATCGTCTTCTTAGATACACATGATGTATGAGCAAGTTCATTTAGTTTGTGAAAATGAATAGGGGAACAAATCCGTCCAATTGACCCACACAGTTAATCTTCGTGGTCAAAAACAAAGAGTATCTTTCTTAAGACCACCCTGAATAGATTAACTTGGAGTAAACCAGTGAAGGAACACGATTCCATAACTCTTTGACCAAGAAGAAGATAAATCAATAGAACCGAGTAATTTTATAGTTTCTAAGACATGTCCAACGAGTTCACCCGTCTGTACTTTCCAGGTGACCAAATCAACAGGATCCTGAATGAAATGTGGCGTGAAATTGTCGCTGACGTAGGCCCATCCATCTGTCAATCCCTTAGTACGGCGGTTGTGGAGAATTTGTCAGTATTGTTGGAACAAGTGCCGTATGATGAACTGTTGCCGGAGTAAATAAAGACTAAATTCGAGTAAATGTTCGGAAGGATGGTTTGTTTGAAATAAATTGAGTTCATGTGATTTTGTTTTGTATTTTTTTGTACGCGTAAATTGTTATGGTGGTCCCTTGAAAAACGGTAACAGGCAGCGTAAGCGTAACCGAATAATTACATTATCCGGACCCGGATATGTTTACCAATAATAATATTATTATTATTTTAACTTGCTTTTAATATATTGGAACTTACAAGTTTGAAATTTGCACCCTCATGCATAAGAAGCGGTTGCCTTAACCCACTGGCCACCACGACGTTACACACGAAAATTTGTGTACTTATACTGAAATCTGAACTGGTTATAAATGAAGGTGCATAATATCCAACTCTTCATTCACAACTAAGAAAATACTATATTCGCTCCTCGTACCACTAAATCGGCCACAAAAGAGATCGTCGTCTGTCTCAAAAATCCTGTTCCACATTAATTTATCGTTTGCCCCGGCGTGCTCTTAATTAAACCCCTGCGGACCAGAAATTAAATGCCCAGAGAACCTCTGTTTATTCACTAATTGCTGACTTAATAAATATCGGGTTACCTATTACAGACTGCCCACATTTTCACCTATAATTTTGATAGTTTTTTAGGATTCCTCCAAAAAGGTACGGTTACGTACCTATATACGTGTTTTGATTAGCAAGTATCAAATTACCATGTTCGTTTCTAATGAAGGTAATGCTAATGAGTTTTATATTTAGATACCTGTATTAATATCCTTTTTAATGATATTAAAATATACATATATATCTTTGTTATGATACAGTAAATGAGCCCAGCGTAACCCCAATTCAAGAAGAATTAACAAAATTTATATATATAAATTAATATAAATGTTGAAGTCAATAGAGAACAAACCTCAATAGTATTTACGTAAAGACACTGCTGATGTCGTCTGTTCACCTATTATTTCTCGGATTAATATACAAATAATATATATCCAATAGTCCGCACGTGTAAAAAATTCAAAACATAACCAAAATTACTTAATACTCAGTCAAACCAACTGTCTTTGCCTCAACCGCTATTTGCTGAGACTACAAACATCATCGCTGACGGGTGGACGCAGAAGGAACAGCTCCTGATTTAATTAAATTTTAAGTTCATTCGCATAGAAACCGCAGGACGCTATCCTTGAATATTATTAGATGCCGCCGACGGTGTAGGGTAAAATGTATACAAAATGTTCGATGAACCAGGTTACACTGTATCAGCTCGGGTTTTGCAGAAAATTGTTAAGTTACGAAGCTGTATTGAATTAAGTTGCTAGCGATTTTACGCTGTGAAAATTATTAAAAGTGAACTTTTTCAATTAATGATGTTGAATGTGTCGTGTGTGATGAATAAATAAACACGTATTAGAGGAAAATAACCAAATATGGAATACAATTTTGATGTTGTCCCAATATGAAATTTCCGCGTTTCAAATTATAGTAATCCATATAGGAAAGAGACTATTTCATTTTTGGTGACTTTCCTCTAAATACTAATCACCGCTTAGTCTCGAAATGACTAATCCAATTGCACAAGAAAACGAAGGAACTATAGGTACCAGCTACCTACTCCATAATAACTTACTAGAAGTGATGTGATTTAGCAGTCAAAAGAAATAAAAAATGCAATAAAACAGTAAAATAAACGATAAAATCAAAACAATCAATGAACATAAAGATTTAAAACTAAAACTGCAATTACACAAAGAATAAAACAAAAGACAGGCGGCAGCGAATATCTGAGCCCAAACGTAATTTACCTGAGATAAAGGTGGAACAATGTGCCCGCCTTACCGACGGCGAGGCAGATGAGATTACTACGAAAGGTACCCATAATATTGTTTGTCTCGGCTGAGAAAACTTAAAATATAACGTTTGAAATTGCTGATGCTCGCGTCTCTGTGAGAGATGGGTTTCGAAATGGAATTGTTAGATCTATTTGAATTTTGCATCTTGAAATATGGTACGGTTAATGTTGGCATGAATTTCTGAAAGTTAATGTTACATGCGAGTTTTTCTAACAGAAGCTAGTGTTTTAAAGAAATTTATGGAAAAGAATCTGATTAATTTTCACGTCTTCTTTAAGGATTATCACGTTTCTGTAACTTGTTGCAATAACAATCGTTTAGGAGCTCTTCTTAAGTTAACCCACTAACATAAAATTTTCTTTAGTGGCACTAGAAAATCACAGGTAGCTATTGTGTGATCAATTTTGTGTAAAACCAAATAACGTGGTTAAGCTGATTCACCCACAAACACAGCTTGAAGCATTTAAGAATTAATTCTCACACGTGTAATTTTACTTTATCCTGTTGTACATAAATATTAGCAGTTTCCACCGTCACGGAGTTACCTAACATGCAACAATTCCGATTCACTTCCTCTCCGGTTAAAAGCTTCTAGTTTCTTGAGTTTGTTAAAAGCCGTTAAAGCCAGTATGAATTGAGCCTTCACGGCGCACACAATAGGCTGAAAAGGCAACATTAAGACCAGATTTTAGTCGTAAGTAAGGCAATGACTTGAGATACCGCTACGCAGACACCGTAATCTTGGATTTTGTCGACAGAAGTTATCAACTTTATCAAGCCAAAGAATATTTCCCTTCAATATTTTTTCTTTCGTAAATCTTAAGTCTCTCGTTATTCTTGTATCTAAATAAATCCAATCTCAATTCCGAGTTCCGAATATTTTTAAAGAAAAATAAAAGTATCCGCGCCTCAAGTACTTTCTTGAATCCCTTCGCGCACCTGTTGTAATTGAGGAGCGCTCACAAAATACTGTCCCGATACTCTTAGAAGTGTCCTAAAGTTATCCTTGAGTTTTTTAACAATCTCCATAATGTTTATTTGAATCAACAAATCCGATATTATTTTTAATTTAGAATAGTATAGGTATTTATTTTATCGAAAACGGCATGATTCGTTGATTATACCATTTTTGGCACATTGATTTATTTAATAGCCTCATAAAAGTTACTCTGTCTCAATAAAGTACTCGGACGAGTCAACTTAAATTATCCATTTATTTCTTTGTAGACAATTTTAGTATTCCCTTTTGTGCCATTTTTATTACGATAAAGGAATTCTGCAGCTGATGCCAAAAGAAATAATTTCGTTGGTACCGTTGAGATTACTGCGATTGAAGTTCAAGATTTTTCTAGAATGATGGTTATTTTTATTGCATGCTTTAAACAGTGTAAAATGAGTAGAGACGTACTGTTACATCGTCGCTGTCGCGTCGTAAGCTTCACTTAAAGGGGATAGCAACCGCTTAATATTTCCCGGCCCCGCTTGCTTCCAGACGATGCAAAGCGCCTAAGGGCACAAAAACAATTTACTCCTCTAAGACCAGTTTTATAGCGGTTCCAGGACGTAGCAAAGGATTCCTCTCTAGTACTTTTAGAAGTCTATTTCCATCACAAAGTCGTACCTGAGGCTAGGAACGAAAGAAGACTAGCTCATTCCATTCATTGTACTGATTCTGATTGTCTTTGGAGAAGTATGAATGGAAATAGTGGCCAACAGCTATTTACCCTGGCAACAAAAGCTATAATGGCATGTCTGTTGTCATTAAAATCTTGTAGCAAACAAAGTCTTTTTCTTGTTTACGAACTATTTTTTGTACCATCAGCGAAATATGTGCCACGAGCGATTCGTAAGGGACTTTTCCGTATCTCTGTGAAGGAGGATGTAACAGGAAAAAATATGCGAAATCATTAAAATATCATATTATGTAGGCATGTAATATTGCAGGATCGAAAGAATGGTAAACTATTGTATGTACAAAAATATGATAAAATATAATAGAGAATACATAGTAACCTTTATAGCGAGGGAATATTAAAAATCTGTTCATGTATAAACCGCAGGGAGATTTAAGCCGAGGTAAGCGGGTTCCGTACCTATTTGCCTACAGCTGTCCAATATCAAGTCAGGAATAAAAATGTCCATCGAGACCTACGATTTAAATCCGCCATAGTACATTTCGACTGTAGTGTAGGGATCAAGATATGGTGGTGCTAGATAAAATGGAGCTCGAAAAATATGGAGTAAAAAAATATACCAGATAAAATAGAGATTTTTAAAATCGAAAAAAAATCGTATGAAGCTTAAACGACTTTTATCGTTTTCATCTGTGACGATCGAACGTACGATGAATAGACTTAAACACATACAATTGTTTCTATTTTCTCCTGGAGAACACAACGTTTATGAAAATGACCATCAATCTGTATTGGCATGCTGCGAGACCTCTTAATTTGATCGTATCATACATTCACAAGGCATGCCATAAAACAGTTTAAAGTTTACAAAAAAGTGATAGCATAAAGTAGTTTTTAATAATAAGATATTGGATAGTTTTTTCTGAGCGAATGCTGAAAAGAGTGAGCTATTTACAGAATTTTCTTAAAAAGCATGGTTAGTTTCAGTATTAAAAATAATAAATAACTGGGTCGTGTTGAGTGTACTCTGCGAATTTTTTATTACTAGACTGTTATTAAGGATTATATTTTATATATTATTATATAATATACGTATATAAACCTTTTTTTAATCAAATTGTAATTTAATTGTAAAAAAGATTTAAAGGCCCAATACGAGGAAATGGATTAAATGCCCATCTATTAAAGCAATAAAGCACATCGAATACGTAGTTTTGAGATTCCAATCTTTCTCTCAAAAGTTGGGAATTTCGTTTTGTCATACCTATTGATTTTAGAAATGGTAATTGAATGAATGGGCCAGCGAAAGCAATACCAATGAAGCTTACAGAAAACCGGCGTGAAGTAACGCTCGCGTTGTATTTCGCCGAGTAAGTGGGGATATTTTGATGCCCAATAAACAAGGGTCCAGTGAAAAGATAATGCATTAGATACTGTAAAATTTATTATAACTCCTTGGTATAACCTCCATTCATCTAATAACTAACTGATATGACCTAAATCCCAGGGATCGCGACCTAGGTTAT